TAGCTGGAATGGAACATGTCAAAAACTGGCTGGATGTTTTTCAATTGTCTTTGAATGTTAACAAAACAAACTACATTGCTTTTTCAAAGACAGTGGCTGATCGACTTCAATTTAGAAGCTTAACATGTCAAAATTTAGACATACAGGAAACAGAAACATCCAAATATTTAGGTATAATTATAGACCAGCACTTAAAATGGGACTGCTATATAATATATATAGCAAAAAAATTTAGATTTCTGATTTATAAATTTTATCTTCTAAAACAATTTCTCAACCAGGATGTACTAATAACATTATACTACAGTCTAGTAGAATCTATACTACGGTATGGAATCTTAGTATGGAACTACATTAAATCAGTTAAATGTTATTCAAAACAAAATCTTGAAGTTAATATATTTTAAAAAAAATGTTTTTTTTTTATTTCCTTTATAATTCATTAAATATAATTAAAATAAAATTTTAATTTTTGTCAGCACATACAGGTGTTCTCACCTAGGTGCTTGTTATTATATAATTGGTTTCCATTATTGTACTTTATTGTAACTCATTGTAACTTATAACTAATAAACTATATGGATGAGTACTCCAAGGTTACAATCTTGGTCCCTTTGATTTTTATACCAATTACATTTTTATAAATATTCTAATCAAAATTAGAAAAAATATTGTATGTAACATGTTACGCAATGCGGTTTTGTTTAACTCGTTCATTTTGCAGGAGCTCGCTTTGCTCATCCAGCCAAGATTCACTCTGGTTGCATAAATAACTATTAACAGTTCACTTCTAACACTTTATACAAACCTCAATTTATGTTTACTATTGTATTAAGTGATTTTTGAGGAAAACTAAAAATAATTTATTTTTATATTTTTATTAATGTAAAAATGATTAACACTGTGGCTGAGCAAACAGAAAAGCTTCAAAAAAAATGCGCCATTAAGAATGCATCGCTGTACTTTTAAAAGGAATGAAGAATATTCCAAGAAGTGAAGATACTCAACTGAGTAGATAATTTTACGACTTGACATTGAAGAAGGCCGTGCAGAATATAGTCATTGGAGTATAATAATATATTAATCATGTAGCTACTAGTACAAAGAATGAAGTGTTTTACATTTTTGTGTAATTTCTGTGTAATTATTTTGCTATAGAAATTATTGGTGAGTAGTGTTTAGTGCAAAATATATGTATTTAACCTAACAAGACATATATTTATGTAATCTTAGACATTTTCTATGACAGCTAGCATAGAAAGAACAATAATAATGAAATATAATGTTTAACATTGCACATCACACATCATTTACGTCATTTCTTGTTTAGTGCAGTTTTGTAGAAAAATAAGATTTCGTCTATAAAATTAATAACAGTTTTTATTATACTGTTATGTAAATCTTATAAAGCTAATTTGAATATTTGACATGATGCGACACTTTAGTATGATTGGGAAGCTTGTCTGCAAGTTCAATGGAGATTTTATCTCGGAACGTGAGTGGGTGGAAATTAATCATAAAAGATAAAAATTACCGCCAGAAGCGAAAATTATTTAAATTTAAGGATAGTTTCAACTTAAATGTAGGTTAAAATACCGTTTTTTTTATATTGATAATTATTATGACTTGTCATCTAAGGTTTCATTTTAATTATGGTAATGAAATATTAGGAAGAAATGCTTCCGTTATTTTTCATTAAAGTACTTAGATGGAAACGATATTATCACTATGTTTAATTATCATTTTATTGACAAATAAAGATGATAATAAACTGAAAAATTAATGATCCCGAGAAAGCTACAAATCTGTGAATCAGTTAGCATTCCCTGGGTATCATAATAGTTCTGAGACAAAAATACGATACAATTTCTCTTGCCTTAAGGCATACTTTTTAGAATAAAACTCGGTATATTGGAAATACCAATGTTATTCAAAATTTTACAAATTTATAGAAATTCAAATAAAAAGCAATAAATATTATTGAATAATTAATATAAAAAACATTAACAATTAACATGAAATTAGTTGTCTTTTAATTAAAGTTACAATTTGTATAAATTGTTTTATTTCTGCAACCCAATCGATTCATTTTGACATTTGTCTGACGTTTGACAAACCATTTTATATTTTAAACAATCTGTATTTGAAAAGCTTAAGAGATTTGAGATATTTTTTATGTAAATCAATTATTGTTGTCATGATAACAATTATTACATCATGAATTATGTGATTTTTTGAAAATATTTTTATTTTGCATTTTATTTTTTTATAGAAAAAGAAACAACCCGAATGAATCGAGTAATAAACAAAAAAAAAAATTACCTCCTCATAAAGGCGATGCCGATTTCGGCTTAAGATGCGCGTTTGTTGGACAATGATAATAATTTATTTATTGTGATTACGAAAAAACGTTAGTTGGACCATTGGAATAGTTAAGAAATGAAACTACAAAGAAAAATAACTTTTTTTTTATAAAGCCGTCAAAAATATTTATAAATGGGACAAAATTTTAATTTTTCTTTTTTTCGAGGATTTCAAATCTCTGTTTGCATATTTAAGAGTATAAAAATTCTGAGTCTTATGAATAATTTAATGGTGTACATTTTCGCAAATTGTTGGCAAGGATTACCAAATTCTATTTTGCTCATCTCAAAAAGGTATGCGTTGGAAATTCCAGGCTTAGTTGACAAACTATCAAATAGAGATATAAATATTTTTTCTAATTTGAAAATATAAAATGAAAATTTTTTGCTGGGAGATTTTAAATTGCCAAACACCTTTTCTTCAGAGTCGTATGCTTTAAAATTTCGCAAGAGTGAATATGTAATGATTTTTTATTAAGTAGCCACATACATAGTTAAATGCATTTTGAGTGGTCACATTTAGCTCCCTGGGGGTCGATTCCCGACTGGTAGGAATTTTTTCCTACAGGAATTTTTGACATTTTTCTATACATCGAAAATTTATGACATTTTTCTACATATAGCAAAGTCCTATAGGAAAAGGTTCCTACAAGTCGAGAATCGACCCCCTGTAGTCACATTCAGAAATCGTTATTGCCCCAACTGATTGTTTTGAAATATATTTAATTTTCATTAAGCGGAGAACTTGTTTTTCTAAGGGAAAAACGAATCGCGGGATTCCTTTCCATTGTGTGCCCCACTGCCGCTAGTGCCCACAAGCCACCACTGTTCTCAATACGTATCCGTTCTTTGAAATTATTGATATTTTGTGGTCTATTTTGGTACCCTTTACTTTTCAAGTATCTCCATAAAAAGAAATCAAGAGAAGTTAAATCGGGTGACTTAGGAGGCCATTCTATTAATCCTCTTCGACCTATCCACCGATTTGGGAAGATGTTTTCCAAGTAGTTTCGCACCAAGACAGCACCGTCTTGCTGTAGCCACAAATCATTTCTGTTTGGGAACAATCGGTTCAATTTGGCGAACAAGAAGTTTTGAAGGAATTCTATTTATCGTGGACTTGTTAAGATTTCTTCGAAAAAGTATGGCCCAATAGTCTTATTATCTATTATTCCCGCCCAAACATTCACTTTTTCTGGGTATTAAGTATGATACTCTTGCATCCAGTGTGGATTTTCGGTAGCCCAATACCCAGAAGTCTGACGATTGACATGACCGTTTAGTAAAAATGTATATTCATCGGAAAAAAGTATATTTTTTAAAAACATTGGATTTCTGTTGTTTTTGTCCATTATAATTTCACAGAATTCAACTCGTTTATCAAAGTCATCTTCCAGAAGTTCTTGTACTAAAGTAACTTTGTAGGGATGCCACTTTTGCTTCTTTAGCGTTCTAAGAACTGTTGAATTTCCCAAGTCATTATCTAATGCTACTTGCTGTAAACTGGTATGGGGATTATCTTCAAAGGCTAACAGAACATCCAGTTTCTTGTTTTCGGAAATTGGGTTTCTACTACCTTTAGTGATGTCTTTCACATGACCCGTTTCTCTGAATTTTTTCTCAATTTTACTCACAGTGGATTGTGAAATTGGTTCTCGATTTGGTTATTTATTATTAAATAACGTACATACATCTTTCTGTGTACGTGTTTTATCTCCACAATCAATCATTATCATTAAATTATTTTTTATTATTATTAGTTTGTTAGATTAAGCACTTAATTACAAATAATTATCTTTTATTCATTTATTGTGTTCTTACAATAAAATAAAATTTATGTGTCTGATCTTTAAATGACTTTTATTCAAAAAACATTGTTATGTAAGATATTTCAAATATTATGTTTGCAAGTAGGAAATTGCAAGATCTATCAAAATCAAGAAAAAAAAATTGGGGTTACTATTTAAAAAAATTGCCAATGACGTCACTGCCCAAAAATGGAAAGTGGGGGAAAATTGAATTCTATTTAAAAAATTGCGTTTTAAGTAAACAAAATTGACCTGTCCGTGCATTTTTTCCTACTTCCATTATAATGAATTTATTCCTTTCATTTTCATGGTAAAGTGTGTATTGAATATTTTGGAATTTTACAAATTTAATATGTTATAGATTTTTAAGCGATACTGTTAGCAATTCAGGCAGACACTGTATACCTATAATTCGATCGTAAAAAAAAATGTGTGCAACATATGTAAAAAGTATAATGACCATTTTAGCAAGATTTGCAGCTCTCGATTTCGTCTCGAGCTGCAATCTAAATATAAATCTAAACAAATATAAAATAGATATTTTCTTTTTACCAAAAAAACTGTCACATCTGATGAATTTATAACATCTATGTAAACAAATAGTAAATAATTGTAATCAAATTACTCCAAAAGAATAATAAAAACAAAATCTATACCTATACATATAATTTTAATGAAATTTATTCACTGTAGCGACTAGTTTCGGCCTTTATAATGGCCATCCTCAGGCTTAAAATACAAACTACGTTTGTTGATAGGAGAAAAAGTTTACTTATTATTCTTTTGAAGTAAATAATAGATAATTATTTTAATTTTAAAAGAAACTTACCTCAACATTTTAAATTTTGCGCCGATTTGGGTAAGTACTTAGAACGATTTAAGTATAAAATTCCTGAGGTAACAGTGCCTTTTTAAAACTCTTGAACGAGCGTTTTATCTCACAAGAAAGTATCACTATAAAAGAAGTCGTGCCGTTCGTGTTTGGTAGAATATCGTTATAAACGTAAAATCGAAAACGAAACGAATGCACATGCATGCGATATGCCTTGTGTGTGTTGCTCGACCGGCAGTCAGAAAGAAAATAATAGCGACGAACGCGAGTCTGCCCAACCAACGGTGTGGTCCTCAAGAAGAGCCCGACCGAGTCAGACTCGAACGCCTTGCGTAGGACGCAAAAGATTCTTCCAGCAAAAGAAGTATCTCCATCTGACAAGTCTAGCTAATAGTCTGGTCAACTTTACAAAAATACTGAAAAGGTTCACCCTGCAATAATAAGGGAGGGCGGATTATTACCTACCGCAGGAATTAAAGAATAAGGGCCGACAGTGGAATCGGTCCTTAGGGATTTCAAAACACGTTACCTTCTGACAGTTAAAATGCTTGCCTGATAGAGCACAAATCACAAATTAACATTTAGTTACTAGATGTAGATATGTTATTTGTTATATCGTTGAAGTGTGGAATGATAAAAACAAACGTTTCTAAAGCCAGCCATGAAAAATGGCGTATATTGAAGGATACAATTCTTTTTCTTTTTTAAGTGGTTTGGATTTCTGTCAGCGACTTGCGTATTTTTATCTTTGTCCATCATTACTTTAGAAATATTTTTGTTTAGATCTCACGTTATACCTATTTGTCTGATGCTTTTTTATTTTAAGATATTTATTTAGTATACCTAATGTTTGCTTTCAATCATTATTTGTTTTACGATCTGGCTAATTACTTACGCTGATTCTCTTTAACACTGATGTGAAGAAAGACAAGAATGTCTTTTTTTTGCTGTGATATCTCTTTCAGATGCCTAATATTCAAAACTAATCCTAACAATTATGGGCATTCATCAGTTTAATTTATATTTGCTGCAAAATTATGAAAATCATTTATTCATGAGAATATCAAAAAACATTTGAAAATAAAAACAAAATAAAACTAAATTAAAAATGTGGTTTTCAAATTCTTCTCTTTTTGCCACCGGATTGTCATATAGGTGGCTACGGTCGATATTAGGTCCAGTAATTTTGTCACTTTTTTCATAAAGATTAAGTAGAACCATAATATTTTTACACTTTTTAATCTTCTATAAGTGTGCACTAACTTAATTAAAGTAACAAATATTATTAAAACACATTTGTAAGCTAAAAAATTAAGAATATGCATTTATTCACTACATTCTCACGTAGCCATATTGTTTTTAATTTTTTCGATTTGACATTTACTTTAAAAGCGCCTGTGCGTGATTTTAGCGATGTTGCCAATTGCTTTTTCTTATTTGTTATAAATAAATATATTCATGGTCTATATTATTTTTTATGAATAATATGACAACTGATATTTTTATTTCTATAAATGTGGAGTTGTCAAACATAGTAAAAGAACGTACATAACAGGAATGACAGTGGCTGTTTTTTCAATAGCTCCAAGCCAAATGATAAAACCAGAATGTAAATGTGTTTATATGAGACTTTTCATTTCAATTATTCAATTTGAGCTGTGTCCAGGTCGTTGGAGTCTATGCCGGTCGGCGTAGCCAGGTATGGGTTGATGTTTTTTGGTGGCGGCGAAGCCGCCACTCTTAGACTTATCGTAGGGTGGCGGCTTCGCCGCCACTTTACGATAAGTCGTTGCTTCGTTTTCTTGTTGCATATTTATGGACTAGTATGCGCAATCGCAAGAAATTAGGTAAAAAAAATTACGTTTTCAATTCAATTTGAGCTGTGCCCAGCCCGTTGGAGTCTGTGCCGGCCGGCGTAGCCAGGTATGGGTTAATGTTTTTTGGTGGCGGCGACGCCACTCTACGACTTATCGTAGGGTGGTGGCTTTGCCGCCACCCTACGATAAGTCGTTGCTTCGTTTTCTTGTTGCATATTTATGGATCGGTATGCGCAATCACAATTTTCCATTAACTACTAATTTTGTCACAATCTGGCAACGTTGTATTTATATTTTCTAAATTTGACAGAAACCATCGAGTTTCCATGTTTACAGTCGTCAAAATGTTGATTTTTATAGAAATTAAATAATTTTTTTTTGGCTTAAATATAGCATTTACAGCAAATTTTTTTTTTTTTAAATGTACTATTTAAAATACGCTCTTTCTGATAAAAAATAAATTTCTTTAAAATTTTACTGGACCTAAAGTCGACCGTACCCGTCATAGGTATATCAGTTATTCATTTTGTTTTGTTTTAAAGTAAAAAAAAACGCGATTTTTGTTCGAGCGAACCACGAAAATTTAAGTTCCCTTGAAAATAAAGCGACACAAAATTGCTTACCAGTTCTTGTAGCAACATAAGGGGGCCCCGTTGCTTGAGATGTAGAATCCAACACTTGATTTTCTTGGGAAATACACTTATAAACACCGATATGATGAATTATATCGGTAAAGGTTAGTTATATATTAGACTCACAATAGATTTGTTTGATCGAGCGATCTGAATAGTCTACCTATGAGACTCGAATTGTGCAACGACTATAAACGTAATAATGGCGGGGTGACGCTAATTTTTTACACCCTGTCCTAAAACAACAATCATCTCTATTGTTTTTGCGGGAACACTAATTCTTCGCGGATATGCGGAAACGGAAGTGATTGCAGCGCTGTTGATGCAATAATTTGAAACTGTAAAAAAAATAGTCCGGGCGATTAACGTGGCTATAGTCAGGTTACTTTTAAAAAATAAAAACGGAACATTTTGGTTATTTCTCACTCGCACCAACTGTGGTTCCTAAAATAATATTTATTCCCTAGATTAGTAATTTATTTACATTTAATTTAACTCGGTGCAAAAGTTTTTTCCAAATTTCCTTCTATTCCTTCACATTATATGTTTTTATTTTCAAATTTTTTGATATTTTCAAATATTCAGATATTTTTAAATGTTCAGATTAATTATTTTACCTTTACTTTTACTGTAAATCAAATCTTTTATATCTTCTGGAAAGACGTTTTATTTTTACTTTCCTATTTGTATACATAACTCATGAACCGATACAAAAAAAACACACCAAATTTTAAACTTTATTCCGGCGTCCAATGAACTGTTTAGATTTTGGGCAGAGTCGGAACATCTGGGGGGGTACTTTATGGGTGGTCATTTTTATATTTTATGAAATATGTCAAGATGTTGTCAAAAACAACACAACACTTTTATTGTACAATGTCCCTTTAGTGCTTCAAAAACTTTTGCTTTTCCAATGGCTTCGTTAAAATGTCTGCCTTCATTTCTGCTGAGCAAAAATATACAATTTTTATTAGTCGTTCTTTAATGTTTGCTTCTCAGGTTAAATTGTGTATTTTTGATAGTACTTTGGTTATCCTTTTTTTTCTTTCTTGGGCATTGTTCAGTGGCGTGATCCCCAGTATATTTAACACACCGTGATCTAAGGTGATAGTAAGGTGTGCTGGGTCCATAATGCTGACATCTATTATGGTATTTCTTTTTTTTGTTGGGGTGACTCGAATTTTATTTTTTGGTGGAGGAGATATTCTATGTTATACACTTCTTTGTTACTTTCTGGATTGAAGTGTACTTTCTACGGTATGTCCATATCTTTTTATTACTTTTAGTTCATTAGTGTTAATAGAGTACTGTATATTTTTGAGTACTGAAGCTTCTATTTTCTTTCAGCTTGTATGTGTAGAATTCCGCCTTTTTTTTTCTTCTAGTGCATCTGTTATTGTTGCGTAGGCATGTAAGGTTTTTGCTTGTATTCTGACTTGCTCAAAGTTTAATATTTTAATTTCCAAGTTTTTACAAATATTTGAGGAGGCTTGGAAGTTTATTTCTATTTTGTCGCTGCTGGTTTCTTTTGCGTTGTTAGGTTTGTCAACGTCTACGTCTTTCTAGTCTAATCCGTCAAAACGATTTGGAGATATTATACTTTTGTTTGTTTTTCTTATTCGTGTTAAGTTTTTCTCGGATCGGCCTTAGGAAAACCTTTAATTCAGACAGGGTAATGAAACTATGGTTTGATGTACAAGTTATTTCCATTGCATTATTATACTCATCATACTCAATAGTTGAAGACGAGGGCCAATTACTAGATAAAATAAATCTTCATTTTTTAAAGTAATTTGTACCTTCTCGTATAACTAACTCCAACTGTATTTGATTCCATTTCTTTTTAATTATTTGTATCAGTAACTGACCACAATTAAAAGTTAGATTTATTGAAAATATTCTTATTAAAGGAGTAAATGCCTGTATATTTAAAACAAATAGCATTCTTAGTAGTTATCAATTTTAAATGAGCCGTATCAACACATTCTACTATTTGATATAATTACCGCGTTTGAATATCCACATCGGATGCATCTGAGATGTTGTGAATTTTTTATCACGTGATAAAGGATTAGATCTGAATGTAGATGTAATAAACAAACGCTCTAGACTTTATTGATCACGATTTACGAGATCTCTTTATACGTAAATTAAATTCGGACCACCCTGTATAATCGAAACTTAAATTTAAGCAATTAGCAGTGTCATAGAAAACACAAAACAGAAAAATGGTGGTCTAATAATATCTTTATTAATAAAACCCTACTTATTTTTCAGATTCTATCAACCTCAGACCTCGTACATAGGGTTGGGTTGGGATAAAGTATGGAACCAAGTAAATATCTTTAAAACGAAAAGGACGATATTTATAAAACTTCGCAGGCAAGTACAATGACGCATAATGCATCTCATGCCATATTTTTTGTTACTACGGTACTCCCGGTATCACCGGAAATACCCTATATATTTTTGCAAATTTTAAAAGATCTTGTTATTCAGAATTCTTATATACTAAGTTCAGTGGAAATAATTTGTTAAAGTAATTTTTCTTTTAGACTAATGAGAATTAAAAAAGTTGAGGGTACTTCCGGTGAAACCGGGAGTACAGTAGTAAATATGGCATCAGATTCGTTATGCGTCATTGTACTTGCCTGCAAAATTTTATAAATATCGTCCTTTTCGTTTTGAAGATATTTACTTGATTCCATACTATATCCCAACCCTGTATAATAGCACATTAAAACAAATCTATTTTTGTTACTCTATCCAAGTTTCTGCATTGAAGATAAACCCAAAAAATAATGAAAGTTTCTTACTTAATACTAAAACTAGTTGTGTAAAATAAGACGCCATAAAAACGAAAACGATGAAAGAAATAATGACGAAGTAATGATGGAACGGTCAAATAGGTAGTTGGCAGTCTGTTAATGAACTTTCATAATTTCCTCATTTTTTTAATGAAAAAAGTTATGAGCTTAGTTAATTATAGAATTTTCCCTAAAACATAACAGCAATGGTTGTTTCAGAGTGAAATGTACATTGTGAATAGCTGTAAAAATTTTGTAGAATTATGATTTGGGCTATTATAATACATATTTAAATAATTATTTCTAGCCGGTAACAATTTAAAATTACTTATTCTATGATACGACACTGGCAGATAAATATTATCGCGAAATTCTCGAACTCGTTCAACGGGGTTTGACATTTACCACCTCTCCACCTGTCAAATGTCTTTCCAACTTCTGTCCCTGCTTACTACCAATTAAAAAGCATTCCCGACCAACATTTTGGTCTGGGAAAATAATGACCCAACAATTGTCTGCCTTTAATTATAATGACCAACAGTCGGGCCACATTTTGCCATCAATACCAGTTACAGGGCTTCATACAGTTAAAGGCTTCAATGACTAACTGCAGGCCCAAAGTTGACTATTTTTAATATTCTGATAGTTTATTGGAAAATAAAGCTTTAGTTTGAGGAAAACGATGTTTGAATTGCTAATTAATTTAATGATAATTATAATTTAGTAAATCATGAAAACATTGGCATTTTAAAACGGTTTTTCTTAAATTATACCTTCATTTTATCACAAATGTAACATTTAACTAAAGATAAGGTTTTCTAACAGAAGGTACCTACACGTATAATAGTGACAAAAAATTCTAACAAAAACTTTTCCTTAAGAAACAAGTAAATGTTAATTAATTTTTTGTCTTCTTTGTTCTCCACTCCATGTGCAGTCGTCTGCAGACTCTCCACTTGAGTGGCAGTAATAATATACACCTGAAAATCATAAAATTTATATAGCTACATTTTATGACATTCCGATAAAACGATTTTGAACTACTGACACACTATTATTCTTTTCATAAATCTAAAAAAATAAGTAGTGAAATGTCTTGTTTGCTACAAACTGAATAAGAAACTAGTTAAGTAATAAAAGGTGTTAATACTACAAAACGGGAACTATTTTAAAAAACTTCCTATTTTCCTTAGATTCCTTTTGCAAGCTGCAAGCCAACTACCAACAAAATGACAAATGACATTAAAAAATGTCTAAAAATTCTTCTTCTGTACTTCATTGATCTTGTCTTTATCAATATCCAGCCACTTACAAAAATGTGTTTCGAAAAGGTTATAAACGGTTGAAAAATAAACTTTTATTAATTAATTCCCACCTTTTTGCTTCTTCTTAGTCAAAACCCATTTGAATTTTGTAGATATCATTTAAAATTATATAAGCACTTAAAAATGAGATGGGCATGTGACTTTCTCCCAACGCGAGGCCGACATCAATTAATGATTGGTGAAATAATAATGGACTCAACATTTAGCCAACATAGTCATCTACCCATCAATTGCAGCAACGGGCCATCGTTTCTCGGCAGTTGATTGTTTGCTGGAGTCCCACTCCTTTTTCTTATGCCGGTACTACCATTGTTACTGGTCTACTTTTTCCAATCTCTCTTCCACCCGTTTTTTGCCTTAGAAAGACACTGGTATCACCGATTTGACATTTATTCGGTGTCCTCAATTGTCCCTTATTGTGTATTTATTATTTTTCTCTTTGTCACTTTTTTTAAATATAGTGATATTATTCAATTTTTCCTCATCATAAAGCATCAACTCTGCTACATTATCCTAGGTGATATCTGATTAGCATCTGCGTTTTGTTTAATTCCTTTCAGTGTTCCATCTTATACAGAGGAAGATTATAAATATGAACCAAAGACTACATATCTTGTGATTCCTTGTATTGTATGGAAACATATTTTTTCCCATCCTCTATTATTCCATGCTTTAATGTCTTTGATCCATCATATTCGTTCCAAATGGTCTATGGTCTATGGTCTTTATCCAGCTTCATTATCTCCGTTCGTTCTTCTATCTTAAATTTTATTGTCGAAGTTCTTTCTTTCACTAGCTGTCCTGTAGGGTGTTATAAATCTTGGATCCATTTTCCTGTATATACTTTCCATCATCTTCATACTATTTGTATTCTAATGCACCGTTTCATATTTGAAATCCTTATAGAATCATAGACATTGTTGCCGAGTAGAGCACTCTTTTTTCTTGTATCCTGGACCCCTAGGTTTGGAGAGATCCGAATAAAAGAGGAGTTCAGTAATAGTGGGGATATAACGTCACATTCCATAGGCGTACTTTGCAAAATTAGTTTCTATTATATAAATAAGGTCACGGCATATAACATGGTATATACGCACTTCGTAGATTATATTTTGAATGAAAAAGTTATATTATTTATAAAAAATTCAATTGAACCTTATGCTTCGACACTTTAACATTGAACGAATTAAATTCAATCAATAAATAACAGACGATTATACAGTGAGCACCATATGTTTTACCCCCCCTATCTAACTCGTTACTGGAGTCTTGTTAGGAAAATCGCCGAGACACGTCGATTATTGATTTCTACAATGTACATTTTTGTATGAATAGTTTACCCTTAATTTCATCCCTTACTGGAGGGGAGCAACCCTTTCGAAAAATTTAAATGGCATGGGGTGGTTAGTGATAGCTCATTTGAAAGAGGGTTTTATTCTCTATTCAACCATGTAAAAAAATTTGAAATTTGCTTCATTAATTCTCGACTAATTGTTGTTTCAGAATAACGGAAATTAACGTAGCGCACTCATCCTTAGAATTAAAATTCGGCCCTGCATGATTTCGGTTTTGGTTCAGACGTGAAGTAAGACTTTTTGCCATTAGAAGGTCACTGTTAGTCTAGTTGCTTTCCTATTTTGTGAGGTTTTGTTATTTTTAAACATTAATAAATCAACACGTAATGAAGCAAATTTCAAAATTTTTTGCACGGTTGAATAGAGAATAAAACCTCCTTTCAAATGAGCTATTACTCACCACCCCATGCCATTTAAATTTTTCGAAAGGGTTGCTACCCTCCAGTAAGGGATGAAATTAAGGGTAAACTAATCATGCAAAAATGTACATTGTAGTAATCAAAAATCGACCTGTCTCGGCGATTTTCCTAACAAAACCCCAGTAACGAGTTAGTTAGGGGGGGTAAGACTTATGATGCTCACTGTATATGTTAGTAAGATTAAACTTTTTAATCTCTTGGCATTAAAAAGAACACTTCAGTACCTAAAATCAAAAATTGAACTAAATACAAAGTTCAAGGACTGTCTTTAAAAGTCTGTCGTTTATTATTATAAGGTCTATTAAGTTTTCCATTGCTATATCCACTTTTTAAAATGAATTTTCCACCTTTTTAACATGATTAATGCATTTTCTCCAATATTCTTTATTTACATCTGAAACTGGACCAAATTGGGATGCCTATGGGACGTCCCGTGTTATCTTAGTTAGTACATAGTACCTATTTAGTCCTTAGTGAATGTTATTCTAAAAAAATTTAATGGGACATCCAGACATGTCTGGAATTTTCAGAAAAATCATCAAATATATTGAGATGTATTAAAATCCCCACATAAACATTTATTTTGGGTTAAAATTAATGTCGATATAACATCCGAATCGTACGCTAAATATACCTATAATGTAAATTACAAGTCCTGTCCTGCGGTATGTATTTTTTTTATAAAAAGAGTTGGAATTTTATCATTTTGTCAGGATTTTTAAAGAAATCTTCATTTTTCATTCAACAACCCTAGGCACTAGGTAGGTATTCCTAAAAGAAATATGTCGCGTTCATGTTAGGTATGATTATCCCCAGATGTATATGCAGCCAACAATACATCAAATAGTTCTATTTTAAAATTGAATTTCCGCCGATTATTTGTGACCGCGCGCTTTTTCTGAACAATTTAGAGCAATTGAAGGAAGGCATTTTTCATTAATTCAGCGTTAAGAATAAGTGTCACTTAAACACCTCAGTCGTTCGAAAGAAACATGGCAAGCCAAAGTCAAGGTATCCAACAACTTTTGGTTGCGGAAAAAAGGGCCGCTGAAAAAGTTTCGGAAGCTAGAAAACGTGAGTTATACCTAGTTTTTTAAGATAATTTTAGAATACTAAAGTATTTATTTTTGGACTGAGGTTTTGTAATATTTAAGTGTTTCTATAGCTTAAAGAAAACAAAAATATGTGTAGACGTGTACTAAAAAGAATTAATTAACTAGTTTCACGTATTTATTCTTGCGTGGTATCCATAATTTAGGTGTTAATATTTTTGCCAAAAAATTATTTTTAATACTTACTAAATTGTATTTGGTGCCAAAGAAATTAATAATTTTTAAAAGCTATAAATGATTGTTTGGGTGCCAATTATACGAGATTTCTTCATAAATTTGATATATTTAAGATATGACTGAAAACGTGTCAGATTTATTAAGCAATAGTTTTTATTCAATTTTCAATTCAATTTTTTATTCAATTTTTACAAAGCTATTCGATATAAAAACAGGGTTCGGAGGATATATATCAAGTGATATATATCATGATATATATCACCAGTGAGTTCCAGTTGTTGGAGATGTCCAGTCTATATGCACTTATTCTGGCCTCACCCTTTATGACTAGGTCAAGGGGTGGGAGGTTAAAAATGATTTCCATGGAAGCTGTCGGTGTTCTTCTCAGTGCTCCTGTAATACAAAGGCATGTTAGCCTCTGAACTCCTGAAAAGGTCACCAAACAACCGCTCCATAAGTTATCATGAGTCTTGTTATTGCCAAATAGAGCCACTGGACCATTTTTGGTTTTAATCTCCATGTTTTTCCAAATGCCTTTCTCCCTACAATGAGAGACATTTTATATTTGTTGGTCACTTTTTGTAACTGTTGGTTCCAAGTAAGTTTGCTATCTAGGATTAGACCCATATATTTTACTTGGTTCGTTTTGTTTAGCCTTCCTCCAAACAGAGTCGGAGTTTCTAAAACTTCCAACCTTGTTTTCCGAGTAAAGGTTGTGCCTTGTCTGGATTTACCAAGAGGTTTTCCCTAACGCACCACATTTCTGTCAACCTAAGAGCTCTTTGCATGAATTCAAAGACTGTGGTTTGGTGTTTTCCTTGGCTAAGGTTCACTATGTCATCGGCATATCCTTGATTGTTCAGTGTTTTCAGTTCATCTGCCACTAGGTTCCATAGTAGAGGAGAAAGGACTCCACCATGTGGGCATCCCTGTGGATATTCACCTGCATGGTTTCACTATACTTGCCGTCCGCGTAACATGTCTTCTATTCACCAGCAGATGGTGTCTTCTAGTCCATGTTTGCGAGCGGCAGCTACCATTGATTTAAAGGAGGTATTATCTAAAGCTCCTTCTTTGTCAAGAAATGCTCCTAGGACTATTTCTTGGCTACTGAGTCCCCCTTCTATCTTGGATACGAGATGATGCAGAGCAAATTCACAAAATTTTCCTGATTGATAGACATGTTGGTGTGTATGAAATGGCCTCTCTATCAGAGTGGTTTACCGGACATGCTGCTCAATCAGTTTTTCCAATCCTTTTAATAGAAATGACGACGGAGTTATTGGTCTATAGGCCTTTGCCACGGCATACGTTGGACGCCCCGGTTTAGGTACAAAAACAACTCTGCTTTGTTTCCAGGTATTTGGTACACATGTTTATGCACCAAACTTGCCCTGTAGGGCCTACAAATATGCAGGGGCAAGTGTTTCTATTGCCTGCTGCAAACGCATAGGCAGTACCCCATCTGGTCCCGGTAATTTGTATGGATTGAAGGTGCGTATTGCCCATGTTACTTTTTCTGTTGTGACTACCCGTTTAGTAGATTCCTACTCTTTGCTGGATACTCTTTTTTAGGAGTTCCAAATAGTTTAGAACGAATCAATTGTTAAGTACCTAATGTTATAGAAATTAAATAAATTTATCTTAAAATTTTGGGACATTTTCCGACTTACATTCAGAACCTAGAAAAATCGACTTTCGCTACTTCTCTGTCAGAAAAATGCCATGCTCTGTATTATTTATAACCTTAAATTACTTCTATAACGAAACAGTTGATAAATAACATTATAAATTCAATATATTCATATCTTGTTTTATGAGTTACACGTTTAAAAAATGGTTTAGTCTGATTTCTAACTCAGAACAATTAATTTTTTCGATTTAGAACTGAGAATACTCGATTTGCGCTACTTCTAAGTCAAAAAAAGCCATAAAATAACATCCTAACCTAACCAATCAGCACATTTTTTTGTCTCAGAAGTATGAAATATGTTTTTTCTGAGTTAAGGCTGGAAAGTCGATTTATTCGAACTCATAAATTTCAATTTTATACTTGTAACTCAGAATAATTGATTTTTCCGCTTTGGAACGCAAAAAATGTCATGATATGTGTTAATTGAAACCTTAGAATCGCTTATAGCGAAGTGGTTGATATTATAAATTTAATTAATTAAACTAGTGAATTATTTGACTTATAATTTCAGCTATAAGTCAGAAAAATCAATTTTTAAAAATCTGACAAGGAAAAATATAGTTTTCTGAGTTAGACGTCAAAAATATCGATTAACCTACTTTTAACTTAGAAAAACGAATATTTTCTACTTCTAGGTCAGAAAAATGTCATGGTATTTTTATTTGTAAGCTTAGAGTACGTTTAAAGTAAATTGGTTAGTAATTAATATATAAATTTATAAGTTTATCTTAAAATATGACATTTTTCTGGCTTAGAAGTAGAAAAAATTATTTTTCTGAGTAAAAACTTTTGGAAATTGGATTTTCGTGATTTATAAGTAGAAAAATTCTAGTTCTGAGTCTCGCAAATAAAAAAGTGTGCTCATAAAATCTTAATATTGCTCTTCTAAATTATAATTATTTGTTTATCTATTTGTTAATAACATTTTCTGATGGTCCTCGAATAAGTTAACTATTCAGAATGATAGAAATAAGAACACCTAAAGCAACTTTTAAAATGTAATTTCTATTATAAGATATTCTTGAAGGATAAATTAATTATTTCACATCATTAAAGAACGGCACCAAGATAAGTGGTTTTTAATAAAATTATCGTTATACTGTCGCACAGTATAAACCACTAAATCATAAATGTATGCCATTTTTAACAACACTGATAATTATTGCTAAATTAATATCCTACAGCAAATTCGTATACATAACTTAACTAGTATTATTCATTCACTTTTTATCTTAATTTTTCTTAATTTTTATATACATATTTGAAAATTAATTTGTTTTGTTTAGGTAAAGCCAGAAGAATTAAACAAGCCAGAGAACAAGCTGCGAACGAAATAGAATTGTACAGAAAAGAACGTGAAAGACAGTTCAAGGAGTATGAAGTCAAATATATGGGTTCTAAAGAAGACGCCATTGCTAAAATCGAAAAAGGAACCGAGGCCCATTTGATAGAACTGGAAGAAAATGTACAAAAGAATAAAGAAGGGGTAATTATTTTCGTAATCGCATATATTTTTGCTTTAGTGTTTTATTTCTATAGTTTTAATGTTTCAAACTTGTTAAAATCTACAGATTCAAAAATAAAATTCTGATGGGAACACACCCTAAGAGAGATCGCTAGTTATAATGTATTCTCCTATATACTGGCAATCAGTGATTGTTTCGCTCTGGGAACAGTCCTTAAGAGAGATAATTAGTCATCATGTATTCTATCCTTAGAACATAAATATCGTCCCCTTATTGCAACAACTAGATAACTTGAAATTTATAGTTTTGAGAAAATCCACTTTAAAGATTCAAAACGCAAAAAAATACACCTGTAGATTAATAAAAACATTGCCATAATAAAGACGTAAAAAGTCAATATATTTTTTTAATAAATTATTGCTTTGATTTTTCAAATGAAATCCTATATTTATCCCACCCAACATGCAATTTTAAAGTAAAATTTATTCACATAACGAAGGTTAATAAAAAAAATGCAAACTTCTCGCAAGAAAATAGCAATTCGTTAAAACGAGAAAAATCGGTAAATTTGGATAATATGCAAATGAGAATTTATTATTTTCTTTTCTACGCCCCTTTATGACAGTACGTCACTGGTAGACCGGAAACACTTATCGCCTTTTATTCGTCTAGTTCACTGTCAAAATTACATACTATCGCGATTCGAAGGTCATTTAGGATTCCTCCTTCCTTACTATATATATTCTAAAATTCTATCTACTGACAGTTAACAGTTATTTTCTATTTCTGAACGCAGTGGAAAGAGACTTAAAAAAAAGATCATTTTTTGTTAAAACGTATTTACACTGTGCTGTATAAGTGATTTTATCAGCAAATTGATTAGTTATCAAGTATTTTCATGCCTATTGACAGTCAGTTACTATTTCTGATCGCTGTGGGAACAGACCTTTAAGACCTTATTAAATTGTCTCCTATCTATTGACAGTTAATTACTTTTTCTGATCGCAGTATGAACAGAGTTTAAGACGTATTTACCCTGTATGTATATATGATTTCACTCCTATTGACAAATTGTTTTTTTTTATTCTGTGAGAATTAAATATTATTTAGGTAAAAATTATTTTTGGGATACCCTGTATAGGTAAACACTAACTAGATTATTAATGTGTTTTCATTTTTTAGCTCATTTTGGACTTCATTGCTTTGGTTGTTGACGTGCAACCAGAGGTTCATCGTAACTATTTCATTATGAAATCTTTCAACAAAATCTGATTTACAAGTAGGTATTACTTATAAAAAAATACTGTTATATTTTACGATTTATAAAAATGTTATTAAAATAATTAATAATAATTAATATATTGTAATTAATTCATTGGATTTTACTATGATTATATTTTATGAAAGTTATTATAATATTATAGCTGTAAGAAAAGTTCATATTATTGTTAATAGAAAATATAAAAAAATGAATAAAAATTGATTCACTGACGTTCCAAATTATTTCGAACATTGTGTTTGTGTCTCTACTCCATGTAAATACAATACAATATTATAACGACAGAAGGTAACCCATTTCTAATTTAATTATTTTTTTTAACGATAGTTTAGCAGGTATAAAAATTACAACTTAAGGGCGGCATCCAGGGCCGCCGAGAGCCAGGCCGGGCCCCAGGACAATTCTCTAGATCGGGCCCCGTGACAAAAAAAAGCTTTTCAAACAAAATTTATTCCTCTTCTACTTAAATTGAATTTTCTTAAAGAAAAAAGCTCTAACCAAAAACTTAAAACTTTCCCTCCTCTACTTGAATTTTCTAAAAAAAAAAAAGGTTCCCAACTACAAACTTCCCCCTCTTGTCTTGTGCCGAACTTTTGAAAGAAAAAAACAAAAATCCGTTTGCCGGGCCCCCATTTGAGATCGGGCCCCGGGAATTAGTCCTGGCTGCCCCCCCTCTAGTCGGCCCTGGCGACATCTGGCCATATCTCAAAAACTGTTTATCTGGTCAATTTCGCATTTTTTTTACAAAATCTTTAAAAGAAAATACTTAAAAATTATTTTACCTTTGTAACTTTTCGCTATGTCACGTGATATACCACACAATTGTGTTTTCATAAAAAAATCTATGTAATTTTAAACCAAGCTTTCAAAAAAACTAAACAAACTATTTTGAAGTGTGATGTATTTCATTATTTTTCTGTGTTGGTTGTACGGGATGTAACGGAAAGACAACAGTCATGTAAATATGTTATCTTATAGTGGTACCCGATGTTTTTTTCAAATAACTTGACAACCAGGTGACAGATCGCCATGTTTGTTAATGTTTTAGAAACGTCATTCCAGTACAATTTTAACAATGACCGCACCTGACTTTCTCCTGTGGGGATACTTGAAGGGAAAGGTTTATGTTGATAAACCAGCCACTCTCCAACAACTTAAGGCCAACATACGCCGAGAAATCGCTGCCATTCAACTCGAAACACTCCAAAAAGTGATGGAAAATGCCGAAAACGGGCCGATTTGTGTGTGGCGTCCGCGAGTGGCCACTTAGCCGATGTCATCTTCATAAAGTTAATAAATTGTAATGGATTCAATTTCAATAAAAAAACATTTATTACAAAAATTCACTGTTTGTCAAAATATTTAAAAAAAAACTTCGGATACCACTATAAAATACACCCTTTATTTATAAAAATTAAGTTTAATAAATTCCCATTCATCACAATACAGTGAAACTTTGTGTATTTCTCTGACAATAGTTGAATTGGCAGTAGCGGCGCATACTAAATAATAATGTAACCTTTATTTATTTTAACAATTTATTTAATTTATTTACACTTATAAGCTAACATATTAATTTATATAATATTTATATACTAATTTATATTACCAATTTTCTATCTGCTCACATCGATATCTTAATATGAACTCTCTCCAACTGCAAAATAGCCAATTTGTACATATACAATACAATACAGCAAAACTTGCTACTGCAGCGGTGCCTTTGCCATTTATTAGAATTATGTTAAATTTCTTCACGCTTTCAGTACATTCCAGAATAATCTAAAACTTCGACTGGCAGTGTCCATAGGCGTAAAAAGCAGGGGGTTTTGTAGGTTTACCCAATTAATGATTTATTCTTAGTAACAGGACAATGGATGCCGTAAGAAGTTCAAATAAAACGGAGAAGGACTTAATGGATTAGATCAAGATCAAACTAATCGAAAATGGCTTCCATGACAATAATAATATTAATTAGAATGCGTATTTCTCACGTATCTCTGACTGAATTTGTAACCAATCCGCGCATTACTAATGTTACAATAATTATAGAGAATGAATATACAGGGTGTCCGGGAAAATGTGGTAAGTCTCTCGGATTCAGATAAAACATTAAAAAATAAGATGACAAGTTCCCATAATTTTTTTCCTATAGGCCCTCCTTACGGAGATACGGCCTCCAAAAAGACGTAACTGGAAATAAATTTTTCTTGAATAACTTTCAAACTACGTAATATAATTTATTGAAAATTTAATATGATAAACAGTAGTAAAGGCACCATTTCGGTAGCCGCGTCAGGAGACAAGAGACCACTGAGGCGACCCCAAGGTCGAGTAGGACGACAGATGCATAAATATTACGCTCCGTACATTTCGGAAGCTTGGAGACGGGTCGCGAGACACTTACATTATAACCATTCGAGGGAACGATCAGCGTTGCCAGACCTACTGTTTTTACGTAGATCCATGCACCGTTTTTGTCTCTAGCAAATTTTGTTCTTAATTTATTAAGTTTGCCTCATTCTTCAGCAAATGGTTAAAGAATATTTTCTCTAGTAAATTTTCTGCAGTAAAAGCAGCGTAATAAGCATCCAATACTGTAGGTTGGCTCCATAAAAAAAAAATCAAGATAATCATTGTTTTTATTTAAAATGAAACAAAGAATTAATAGGGCATCGTAAAAAGAACATGCATATGCCAAACACTACGATTTTGAATTATCTGATTCAGACTGATCTAAATGTAGTCATATTTTGCAATCATTTTTATACCCGAAATTAATTTGCTTTTATAAAAATTACGTCCAATTTTAAAAATTATGTTTTTATCTTGTTAAGAAAAAGATTTACTACAACTTGATAGTAATCGTTTAAAGAATAATGCATATTTGATAATGTTAATTCTCTATTAAAAGTTGTCAATTTTTTAGAAAATTTAATAATTTTTTTTTTGAGAGACAAGTCATTGTTTCAAAAAAATATGCTAACCCAGGGCTAGTTTCACTTATTCTCTTTGCGCATAAACAAATTATGGTATTATCTTTAAGGATTAAGGATTAAAAATTTCTTGCTATTATTAGCAGAGCAATAACTCTACAGTACTTTAACTAGTTAATTTACTTTGTATATAATAAAGCATAATAAATGTTTAGACAGCAAAATATAAGTCACATTCGAAACAATTGTCTTGAGTAATTTTTAATTTTAATGTTTTAAATAAAAATATTTATGAAAATCTACCAAGTTTGGTTTTCTCATCTAAACAATATGAATTTTCATCAAGTAAAACGCCCAAACAATCAAGAAATTATATCTAATTGGAAATAAGATTATTATTATTATGTAGTGTAATAATTTGTTTACAAAAAACATTTAATTTTAATAAAAACACTCACCATTTGACGTTCCAAGTATTTCTTTCCACTTCTTCATAATATCCATTGTTTCCAGTAGATTATCCCGATTAAAACGTGTCCGGAAAATCTTCTATTCCCGACGATATTAACGATCATCGATCATATTCAATTCTATATCAACCCTTCGACACGTAAATATGTCTCTGGGTAGTATATCTGCAGCCTTGTCCATTTGATCTTGGAAAGTACATTCCAGGACGTACATTCTAAGAACAAACGTCTTTATTGTCAGAGGTGAAATGAACATGAGCTCAGACCATTGACATCGTACTACCGATTAACTTGAGACGTTTGCGGCGATTTAAATTTTCATCACGGGAATTCGCTGAAAAGAAAAACAACAATTAGTAATGGGAGATTTTAAAACTTTCAAAAAGGAGAATATTTATTTATTAGGTCATTTTATTATTTCTCTATAAAATATTAATAATAATAATAATAATAATAATGCATTTTCAAATAAACTATAACTGGTCGCGTCGGAAAATTTTGTTATTTCACCAACCCCTCGTGATTTTCAATGAGGAATTTAATTCTGATTTGTTTCGCATGAATTTAGAAACACCCTACCCTGTATATGTTAAAATTATTCAATAAACTCTAGATTTGAAAATTGTGCAAATATTATTATTTTTTAAAACCATATTAAAATTTTTCTTCTAGGAAAATGTTTTTATTTAAGACCGGAATTTATATATTTTTAGATTTTTAATTTATTTAAAATTATAGCGTTCTTTAATTTAGTATATATTGTTTTATATACTGTTTTCAATTTGACAGGCATTTGACTATATTGGAATGCATTGGATTTCAAGAACATTGATATTAAAGTAGTTAGGTTGGACCAAAAATTCTAAAAATCAATAGAGTTCTAAGTTAGAAGCAATTATTCAAGAAAATCAAAACCGCAAGTCAATCGGATCTTGCTATCTAAAGTTATCATGCCGACCCACATACGCACAGATGATCAGACTAATTGTTTTTGCATTTTTGGACTAATCAGAAACACGAAAAAAGTTTTAAAGTGAGGATAAGAACATTTTTTCGCCAGCATGAATGCAATACTGGGACCCTATAGGAAGGGCCTCAGTAATTCCGATGTCCCTAATATTATACAGAGCTCAATTCTTAAACACAAACTTGAACATTAGACACAGTGATTAAATAAAATTTACAGATATGGCAAAGTTCCAAACTAAATTATTTTGAATTATGTTTTATGGAAGAAAATATTGAGAAAAAGTTAGGTTAAATAGTCAAAATATCGCATTTATTATAATATAAATGAAAAGAGCAAACAAAAACATAATTTCCCATACTTAATTTTACTTAAACAAGCCATCACCACATCTTAACCAAATTTATATGGGACCACCCCTGAGATACCCCCTTACTAACAAAAAAATCTGATGTGTCCAACACATGACTTTCCTATCGTTATTATAGGTTTTTTCCGGTTATTTTGTACAACCTATTGCAGCACCTCCATAAATTTTTAGAGAACAAACTAAATATATACATTTTCCACATACATCTACCTCGAAACATTTTTCTATAGATATTCATTGAAATCAAAAATACTGAAAAATTTAAATTTAGCACTCTTCCTCCAATTTTTCCATTACAGTCCATTTTAGAAAAATCATGCATAAAAATTATAGAGATCGATATCGCAAACAACTTTTAGTTTAACAATTTTCTTAAAAATCAGAATTTTGCACATTTTGTCAAATTTCTCGAATACGGACCATTTCAGGAAAATTTTGAATAATTTTCTTCTCCAAACGTAAATAACAGATATATTCCATAAAATATAAAAATGACCACCTATAAAGTACCCCCCAGGTGTTCCGACTCTGCCTAAAATCTAATCAGTTCATTGAACGCCGAAATAAATCTTAAGTTTAAACACACACACACATACATCATCGCGAAAATAGTCGAAATGGATACAGGGGACCTCAAAACGTAAAAATCCGTCGAAAACTGGAGGTCGAAAAAAATCATATACTTTCTTTATCTGTATACAGATAGGAAAGTAAAAAGAATTATAGAAATCGGACAAGATGGCAATAATCGCTAAATATACCTAAAAAATTAAGAGTTTGAGGATTTTCTCATGGACCTAATTATTAGATTTTGATCAAATTTATATGAGACCACCCCTGAGGCACCACTTTTAATCGCAAAAAAGAATCATAGGAATCGGACAAGGTGGTAAAGAATTATCGCTAAACATATACAAAAAATGAAGAGTTTGAGGATTTTAGCATGGACCCAATTTTTATATATTTTGACAAAATTTATATGGAACCACCCCTGAGGTACCCCCTTCCTAACAAAAAAAGAATCATAGAAATCGGACAAGGTGGTAGAGAATTATCGCTAAACATATAAAAAAAATGAAGAATTAGAGGATTTTCTCATGGACCCAATTATTAAATTTTGACCAAATTTATATAGGACCACCTATAAATTACTCCCTTTCTAACCTAAAAAAATAATTCAAATTGGACACCGTGTTAAAGAATTATCCCTAAACATATATATAAAAAAATATATACCGACGAATTGAGAACCTCCTCCTTTTTTGAAGTCGGTTAAAAATGAGTAGCTTAGTGCTTAAGTTACCTAACCAACAAAATTTCTAAAACAACCTTTTTTTGATATATGTATTACTATTTTAAAATAATATCTAGCCTATTTCTTAAAATTATTTGTTTTTAGTACCACATCTATAGATTCAGGTAAAGTACTTTGATCTCCGTTTAATCACTTTTAATAAATTGTTGGTCAAGCAACTATGATACTGAACCACGCAAATATAAAAAATATACTGAATTTAAAAATTAGATAAATAATTTCAATGCGTGGCAACCTTGTACAAATATGTCAAATTATTTGTTTATAAATAGCCAATTTTTTATCCTGATTTTAACATCAAATTTCTCAATTAAACGCGGATAATCCGCAAATATTTTTTCATCTTCTTGATATGTAAATACTCTACTTTCTAATAGTACTAAAAATATACCCATACCAATGGTTTTTTTCGACCTTAGAAATATCTATAAATAACCTTTTCTTTACTGGGTATCTATTTTATTTTGAATGATGGTTGTAGTGATATTAAGAACATAAGTTCTTGGTTTATTTATATTTATAATTACTAAGTATCTAGCTAACTACTTACTATCCAGAAATTTTTTGTCGTAAAATAGAGGTTACGTATAGGTATTTTGAATGAAATCAAACAGTAAATAGACTTCTATCAACTAGGAAATAGACAGGAATTCAAGAAAATTATAACCGACTTACATAAAGAGTTCAATTTTCTTCTGGAAATAGTTGATTATCAGAGTTTCCGGATCACTACGCCATTACACCACAAGCTTCGACTTGTTTGTTTCAAAGCTTTTTATGATCTAACGCAGATACAAATATTTTTCGATTATCTAACACGCTAACTCAATAACTACCCTGTACTTACTTTTAATAAGTAACGTTCTTTAACATTAACTTTTAAAAATCACTTTTTATTTCAAATTCACAAAATTGTTTTCAAGCAAGAACGCTTATTCGAAATTCGAATATCGGTTCTATCATATTCGGCTATCGTCGGGATTTATATTTATCGTGGCTGCCGCCAGGGCCAACGTTGCCAGTTTTCGTAATAATGAATTTAAAATAAAAACAAATGTAAAATAAATTATTATCAAATTAGAAACGATTTTTTTAGATACCTAAAATGAACATACAGGGCATATATTATAACTGGTGTGTCGTTTTTGTTCAACTAAATATACTTAGGGCCCTAACATTAAGTGTACACTTACTGTGAGTGGCATTTTTGTTTTTTTTCCAAAGTTTTAATAGTTTCGGATTTAAAATTAGAATTTACATCATAAATGGCTTGTGTGGTATCAAATGAAAGTTGATTGAACCTGCAATTGAATAAAATTTATTTAATTTTTTTAAGCCAGTGGCGCACAAAGGGGGATTTCAAAAATTAGAGTTTACATCAAAAAATGGCTAGTGTGGTATCAAATGAAAGCTAATTAAGTCTGGAGTTGAATAAAATGCATTTTATTTTTTTAAGCCAGTGGCGCACGAGGGGGATTTCAAAAATTAGAGTTTACATCATAAATGGCTTGTGTGGTATCAAATGAAAGTTGATTGAACCTGCAATTGAATAAAATTTATTTTATTTTTTTAAGCCAGTGGCGCACAAAGGGGGATTTCAAAAATTAGAGTTTACATCAAAAAATGGCTAGTGTGGTATCAAATGAAAGGTAATTAAGTCCGGAGTTGAATAAAATGCATTTTATTTTTTTAAGCCAGTGGCGCACGAGGGGGATTTCAAAAATTAGAGGTTATATCAAAAAATGACTTGTGTGGTATCAAATGAAACGTAATTGAGTCTGGAGTTGAATGAAATACATTTTTTTTAAGTCAGTGACGCATAAGGGGGATTTCGAAAACTAGAGTTTAAATCAAATCATGGCTTGTGTGGTATCGAATGAAAGGTAATTGAGTCTGAAGTTGAATAAAATACTTTTTTTAAGCCAGTGGCGCACAAGGGGGATTTCAGAAATTATGATTTAAATCAAATCATGGCTTTTTTTGATATCAGTATTAAGTATCTTTTATTTTAATTAATTTGTTCAGGAAACCAAAATGTCCGATGCTAAGAGAAAACCTTTTGGGAGGGAATTTAAAAAGCGGAGATTGAACAAGCAAACACAGCTTCAAAAACAGTCAGATGCGCTGCAGAACTTCTTGAAAGAAGGTAGTTTCAACGCTCCCACAACCGACCAACATTTGAACAACGCTCAGCACCTAGATACTGACTTTCCGGATATGGACCCCCCTTTGGACGCAACCGTCAGCATTACTGAGCTGGTTAAGTCATCCCAAACGAGTTTGGCGAGTAGTGATGCAGTTCCAAAAATCATAATTCGCAAGTTGTGCAGACCTCAGAGAAACATTTAGAAAAGGCTACCGTCCAAAGTATCTCTTCTGACCCAGGATTATGGCCCGAAATCATGCGTGCAGCAGATAGTTTTTTTGGTTAAACGTGGTCCAGCTGCACCTTTGTGTAATTTGATTTTCCTTTTGATGATCAGCATAGAAGATTCTTACCAAAACATAACAAGAAAATGCTTAGACATGGAATGGAGGTTTTAAGAGAATGGATGGTATATTACGTATTTCAAAACGCTTTGTACTGTTCTCCATGTCGACTTTTTGCTGTACCATCTAGCTTGAGCGCTCTTGGCAATCGGGGATTTAAAGACTGGAAGCATTTAGGGGACTCTTTAGCACATCATGAAAATGCTAAAACTCATATAGATTGTTTGAAATCATGGCTTGAATTGAAGCAAATATTGAAAATAGGCGAGACAATAGATGCAGTTTCTCAGAGACTCATTGATTAAAATTAATCCAGTTTATTGCGGAAGTGTGACTTCTAAATTATTTGTTGACCCTTCTGCTACTAAATTAGACTAATGTTGCTAAGACCATACAGGACATGAGTTGTTCTATATTTACTATCTCTAAGTCTACTCAAATACGTTAGCTAGATACTAATATATTTATCAACTCTGCTGCATGATATTCGGAAAACTAAAGTTGTCAAATATTCCAAGCATTTGTAAAGCCTCGGCGTTTCTACCCTCTAAGGACCAGATTGAGTTTATAAATGGTTGCCAAAGCCGTTCGACTATGCAATTAAGGGATGATTTTGTTTTTTAATTTTATTTTTTGCCATTGGCGAATGGATGTTCCTTCGGGACTCCAGGACCCTTTGGCTGGTGACAGTGCTGCCTTCGTCTTTTAATAATATATTGACAATAATAGTTAAAGACCTATAAGTTGTTACAAATGGGTCTTTAGACAAGTTGGTTGTTACAGTGGTGACAAAAGCAGTGGTTCTTTCATACTCATTTTATTTTTATATTACCTCTATCTTTTCTGTGTATTCTGTCTTTATTCATTAATTTATTCATTTTCTTCGATTTCTATAGATCGTTTTCTTATATATTTATTTCTACCCTTTTATTTACATTCTAATTTATTTTTGTCTTCTCTCTAATCTTTGTTTCTTCAATGTTGTTATTTATAATTTCTTCTGAGTATTTTTCTAACATTTTCTTTGTTTTCTTATCATCTTGCCCCAATTCTTGGATTTCTTCGTCTTTATTGCTAGGTACTCATCCTCATTCTACTCTTACTCATTATTATTCTTAACGGAACATTGTCTTGTGATGTCACCCGTCGTATAATTACGAATTAAAGTTTTAGGAGGGGATAATGTGTAAAGCTAGTAATTTGTTGGTAACACTAGTACAGGATATTAAAAAAAAAATGTATGGAGGGTGTCCCTCTCAAAGTGAACTTGAAGATTTTGGAAACGATCAGAGATACAAAAATATATAATATAAAAAATTTGAATTCGACGAAAAAAATTTATCTTGAATTGTTTTGTAACTTTTCCGTTTCCGAAATCTCATAAATTTAATTTGAACATTAAGAAAGAGTAAATGCCCAGAAATGATTTGCGATAAAGATTAATTTAATAAGTAATTTCGCATTATCTTTAAAACGCACGTCTATGGTTTATTGGTTGTGACATTTTCGCAGAACATTTCTGGATGTTTACTCTTAATGTAATGTTCAAATCAACTATATTATGTACTTCATTTTAAGTTGTGCACCCTATATAACGAATATTTATTACAAAATAAGTATATTTCTTTCAATGAGTGTATAAAGTACATTTAAAAATTATTCATTTGTGAATTTTGCCTTTCTCTTTTCAACGAAAGCTGCCATTCCTTCTTTTTGGTCCTTGGTGGCGAAACATGCGTGGAACATCCTTTTTTCGAAACGTAAACCCTCTTTCAGCGTCGATTCCAATGCCACATTGACGCATTCTTTAGCAATTGCATTAGTAATTTGAGAATTGCTGGCTATCTTCTCCGCCAGTTTCACTGTTTCGCCTAGCAGTTTATCCGCAGGGAATACTTTGCTAACGAGACCCATTTTTTCAGCGTCTTGTGCATTAACTTGGTTTCCTATAACGATAAATGAAATAAATAATTATAGTCGGTCCAGAGATCTGTTTTTACTTAAAATGATATCAAGCTGACTAGTAATTTTGTGTTAAAATTTATCGTGTGATTAACCTGTTTCAAAATATAACGTAAAAAATTTAATTATAGACAATATATAGATAATAAGATTCTGAACTATTAAGACAAAACTCAAAGATCGCAAATTCGCTGTCAATATTCAATATAAGAATATCCATATTGTCCATTCTAACTTAAAATAGGTATCAAAAAATCGGAATACTGCTAACAACTTTTAAGATAAATATTTCTATAAAATTCATCATGGAATCAATTGTATTAGTCTTCAGGTATATAGAGTAAATTATTATTTTCATGATGAACAGCTTGTGCAACATAAAATAAAATTCACAAAATAAATAATATCAGTAAAAATAATTCAAGAAACCCATCAAAACTGCTTTAAGAACAATACCTAGACTTCCTCAATAGTCACGGACCTAGATTTATTATTGAAGGAGACTTGAATGCAAAAAACACCCATTGGGGCCTAAGACTAACAACAACTAAGGGTAAAAACCTAAAAGGGGCATTTGCCCCACATATAGAAATAAAAACCCGACTCAATAGACTATTTTGTTGTACGAAATATTTCAGCAAACTACAACCAAATTGATGAATCTTACGACATAAATTCAGGTCATTCGCCCTTTCTTCTCGCTTTTAGTGACACTATTATCCAAAAGGAAAGCTTTTAAGACCAATAAACAGAAGAACAGATTAGCAAAGCTTCAGACAGGACTTTGAAAAAAAAAATAATCTTTCAGTTCCAGTTAAGAACAACAGCACAGGAGAATATAATTCGACTTATGTTTTTTATATAAAATTTTAAATGGTATTATATCCAATTCCGAACTATTGAACTTAATTGTTTTCAATGTAAATGAAGACGTACGCGGAATGTTGAACTATTTCGTATACCTTTTCATCACACTAACTACGGACAAAATGAGACAATATCCAGAATTTTACGATTAGCTAACAAACATCAGAATATTGATATTGTCCATAAAAAGAACTATAAAAAGCTTACATATTAATATGTAATTGTTGAATGTTTTTAATTTTTTTATTTTGTTTATATTTTGTTATATATTTTTTATTTTCTATTTCATTTTCTTTTTATTTATATTTCTTTTTTTACTTATTAGTTTTTAACTAGCTGTAATGTCGATCATTTTACATTTGTTATGGGTCTTTATATACTAATCTGTAAAATGGGTTTTGACCTGTAAATAAATAAATAAATAAATAAATAAATAAATAAATATAGTTGTGCTTTTAACTAAGATAATAACTGGGAGAGACTAATCTAGACCACTCAGGGGAGCAGAAAGATGTCTAAAAAGAGTGAAAAAACTGAGCGTATATTACCTGTTAAGACTATTTCCATAGCCTTGGATTTTCCTACAGATCTAATTAATCTTTGTGTACCTCCAGCTCCTGGAATTATTCCAATAAGAATTTCGGGCTGTCCAAATTTCGCAGATTCGCCAGCATATATTATATCGCACATCATTGCCAACTCACAACCTCCTCCTAACTAGAATTAATAAATATATATATAAAGAAATTATTTAGAAAAAATATACTTACTGCGTATCCATTGACAGCGGCGATTAAAGGTTTTCTGGTAGATGACACTTTGGTCCAGCTTTCAAGAAAATTACCACCAACACATTGGGCAAACGTATTATTGGCCATTTCCTTGATATCTGCCCCTGCGGCGAAGGCTTTCTCATTTCCTGTAATTACGATAGCGCCAACGGACGAATCAGAGTCTAGTTTTTCCAGTGCTTTTCCTACTTCCTCCATTAAACCATTGTTGAGAGCGTTGAGTGCTTTTGGTCTATTTAATTGGATCAATCCTATGTTTTGTTGTTCTCCAGTTTTTGATAGTTTAATGAATTCGAAGTTATCTTAAAACAATGGAATTATGTATTTTTGTTTGTTTTGGTTTTCATTATGCTTATCTAATACTCGTTGGATAATTTTGTGATTGTAATGCTATTATTTTTTCATTGATTAAATAATGTAACACTTTTACATTTAACGAATTTATTAATTTAGAAATACATGTGATTATAGATATAGTTTTTAACCGAACTGGGTGAAGTACCAAAAAGCTCTCTATCTGGCTGATGTTCGATACGAAGTCGGGATAGTCGGGAAAGTTTCGTTCGCGCACAGCACATATGCTCAGTCCGCGTTGCTGGCGCAATTTTATTATCAAATGTTCGATGCGCTGTAAATTTAAGTTATACCGAAATTCACTACTCGTAATATAGATCTATTTTATTTACACAGTGGGGATATAAAGATTGGAACAAATTTATACCCAACTGTCATTCCTTAACTACAATTTATACAATCTCTCTAGTCTTCATAGGTATAATTCAAGGATTATATACTATAGTAAATGCACGTCATAAACTCATGAAAGTATACGTTGCCACATTACAACAAAATTCGAGGATCTCGAGTAACATTTTATAAAAAACTGTTAATAATTTGAACTTTATCTTTTGACACTTTTAATAATGAATTCATTAAACCTATATATACAATTATTTTAGAAGCTTTTGGAAGTAGTTCTTCCAATATAAATAAGTAGAAAAAAATAAACAATTAAATCGTTCTTAAGAATAAGAATCACTTATACAAGTAAAATATACTCTCTTTCAGATATAACTTCACGGTCCCAACATTTCAGAATAATTTTTTCAGTATGTCTAATACTATTAGACCAGATTTGGGGGGGTTACAGTCTGTAATGCTTCCCTCCACCCATACTTTAACAATTTTGAATGGAGTTGCCATCCTTTCCAATATGCCGGTTATAATAATTCTTGGCTATACCCCATATCATTTCAATTGAGTTAAACAAATTTATATAGAGACAGATATTTTTGTACTTGTGTATAATTTTAACAAACTAAATATTTTAATGGCAACACGAGAAAGTTCCATAAGACCCCGCCGGGATCATCTTTCTTCGATTTAAATCCTATATTGATCAATACTGTTTACAATGATCTTTTGCGTTAAAGTTTCATGTAACATTCTTCCAGAAGATAAAAAAAAAAAATTGAAATTTTGGGTATGCATGTAGAAAAAATTGTAGATAAAAAGTTCTAACCTATTTTTTAGGGATGCCACCCCTTTCTCCCTATAGGGACGGTGATGGTAAGATATTTACACAAAAACGTTGCAAATTTTAAAATTTTGGTGTTATATGCAGAAAAAACTAGATTTCAACTGTTTTATTCAAAATATTGTAACTTTATTTTTTGAGAGCGACACTTCCTCTTATCAGCTAGGGGGTGGGGTGGGCGAACTTTTATTGAGCGAATTTCATATTTTTATGATAATACATCTATATACCTAGTTAGAGCTTAATATCTTGACCTGAATTACCCTAGCCCCAAGAGCCAAACCCCAACCCAGAACTAAACTTTTCCTATTTATATAATATAACTTATTAGGACACTCTGTATATAGAGCTGTTTTAAACATAGTAACTCATCACTTAACTTGAAAAACATAATTTTCATTTTATGTTAATTTAAAAATTTAAAAAAGTATATTTTTAAAATTTTCAAAATTTTGGTGCCTCCCATATAAAATTACACGTTTATATTCAGGAATAGGATAACACCTGTACATTTTTAATAAGCGATGAAGTTGACAAAATTGAGCAAAAGAAGCCTTAAAATAAATATACTTATGTTCGAAAATTAACCATATTTTTTATAACAAGAAAATTTAGGTACAACAGAGGGAAAAACTGCCAAATTGTTTTTAATATTTATAAACAAAAATTAACATTTTAACCTATTGCAATAGTATACTCGCTGCATAACAACTTATTGATATTTTCATTATCACATATTCTTTATCTAGTAAAAATTTTCGGATGTTGCCACCTTAAATTATTATTAGAAATGTATCTTATCATATTTGCCATTGAATTTATTTTTATTTCTATAATTTACAGAGTGACAAGTGACAACTTTCGTAATTTATATTCGGCTCTTTTAAATTGTGTAAGTATAGAAATTCCAAAGAAGGCAGCAGAGCACCTAGGAAATTTTGAGTTGAAACCTGTGCCAAAAATAAGGCATAGGTTTCAACTCAAAATTCTAAGGTGCTCTGCTGCCTTATAGAATTAATTAAAATAAACAACTTTTTCAAAAAAAAAAAACAAAAAAGAAAAAATCACAAGGAGTTAGGTCTGATAACCTCGGTGGCTATGCAACTGGTCCATTTCAACCAATTCACCTATTCTGGAAAGTAATGTCCAAAAACTCCCGAATTTTCAGATTAATGACAGCCCTTTAGGAATCACCCTGTATATGTCTTTGTTTCTTTTCCGAGTTTAAACAAAGCAATTTTTCAAGATAATCTTTTGGTATATTAAAAAAATATATCATTTTTAATATGCCGTACGGTTATTTAATTCTCATTTATTTTATTTTTTTAAAGAATTGGCAACACTGTCGGACTATGATTAGGTTAGCAGATTAGCGCTCGATTTTTAACTATTTTTACGATTTATATCATAATTATAAAGTTAGAGATATAACTAAATTGGTAAATACTAACGCCTTATTATGCAAGTTAAACAAATAATATAATACATTAAATTTTTGACTTTTGATTTACATCCACAAAAAACTTAACTTTTAGAAATTGATTTATTGAAATTCTCTCAATTTGCGAATACCTAGTACTTACCCGACATACTTAATAGCAATAAAAGCGGAAATACATTAAGTACAATAGGTATATGCTTTATTTTTAACTTCTCATTTATACGATAATATTCATATCGAATTTTTTTTAATTTACATTCACAAAAAAATCAAAAACAATAATAGCTACTTACAAAAAAATACTTACCCGCTACTGCACTGAATAACCTCACATTTTTAGTTACTTGATTATATTTAAAATTCGATTTATTTCCCAGAAATTTGGAAAGAACTACACGTCCTAATGTGGAAGTACTCATTTTTTATTTACAATTTTAAATTTAATGATTCTCAAATGAATACTGATAAAGAAATGGACTTTGTATAAACGTAATTTTAATAAACAACATTGCAATAGAGGTAAATCGTTATTATATAACAGCTCCCTACCTGGTAAGATTTGTATGAGAAATTATCATTCGGAACGGTTACGCTCGCCTCTATTCTGGAGAGATATCTGCGCTTGATTCAAGTAAAACCAGTTTGTTTCGACAGAGACGGCGGTGCCCATAATTAATCCCTTTAAAGTATAAACTTAAAGCGAAAGTCAGAAAAGCATTTTGTCGAAACTGCTCGAAACTACTTACACTATAATGTTTTTTTTTATTATGTTTCAAACATAAAATATTAATTAATTTAATTGTTTTTAAAAAATAATGATAATGGAGAATGGTTGAGACTAAAATATCGCCGGTATAATAGAAATAATTTAAAATAATAATACTTCTATTGCATCTCTGTCACTTTAATTAAAAATATAACATTAGTGTACACGTTTGTCGATAAGATAAACAATGTTTTTACAAAGTATCTACTACAGGTCTGTACTCAATTATTTTCCACAGATAAAATTTTGTTACTTAGCTTACTAAATATCTGAAGCTGTTTAATTTAGAAAACATAAAATCTTAACAACTCTTTTGTTAATTTCCATATACCTATATAAATAAGGCAAATATTTATTATTAATTATGTATTTAATCATTATATCTTTCTGGTATATACAATTTCTTAATTATATATTATGATGAGATTGAAGCAATATCAGTTAAATATTATCATCTCAATCATTAAAAAATTTCAAAAAGGAATTAGAATTTGGAAAATCCATAACCCTGAATATTTGCGGGTTTAGTACTAGGGAACAACCACCAATATGCTGGGTGGATAAACTTCAATACTCTGTAAACGAGGCTCAGGAAAGTCGCAATTATCCAAGGTAGGGGTAGAAATCGAGAAATAATAATCACGTCTAAAAAGAAAGCGATAAAATCTTTTCTCATAATATCTCCAGGTAAACGTGCCACTGCATTCATTTGATCCCAAACCGACCTATCTGAAAAGAAAAAATAAACATATAAACAAATATACAAATATGTAAATTATTTACCTCAAAATGCAATTCAGATATTTTATAAATAGCAGTATTGTTTTGGGTAAAAGGGATAGCATAATATGGATATCATACGTAGATAAAAATAAAATCAAAAGTTTTTATGTGTAATATTACAGTATTAGAGTCTGCTCGGATAAAGAAGAGCACACCAATATGTTATAGTTTCTTGAACTAAGCCAGTAGAGAATCTAAAATATGCACTAACTTCTACTTGAGTCACGTACCATTTGATTAATAGCTCACTCCACTGTAATTTGATAATAAAATTGGTAATAAAATTATAACGAAAACCTATAACAGGAACGGCAGGTAATATTCATATCCATACCGACATTTCAAAAACAAAGCCTGTATTTATAAACAGATCTCAGGTGAGTTCGACTCAGCTGAGTTGCCCGTGACTGAAAATCGAAATTCGGTTATATCGCGTGAATTTAGGGATTGGTAGTAACAAATCTATAAATGTACTTAATAGTTACGGATTTGCTACTATCGATCTCTAAATTCCAATGCAACACCGGAACCACCTGGAATTCTAGAGAAGATATAACCGAACTTTGATGTCGTTTAAGGACAACTCGGCCAAGTCCGATTCACGCAGCTTACACAGAACGATGTCTGTCGACGGGCTACACTTTCCTTAACCAATCATCAAAATGTATTCTCCTATTCTGTCAAGAATATGTGTCAAGGAAAGTGTAGCCAAAGACAGACATCGTTCTGTGTATGTCCAGTCACGCGGCATACACAAAACGATGTTTGTCGACGGGCTACACTTTGTTTAACCAATCATCTACATGTATTCTCCTATCCTGTCGAGAATACGTGTGCCTTGTTAACTGAGATCGGTTTATATATGGGCCTAAGGATTATAGGAAAACTCAGTGTCCCCACTTACTGATACAGATACCATTGTAATGCCTAACAACAAAGCAATTAAATCGCAGGTGCATAGCATCTTACATACTCTTCATTATCCGAGCGAATTATATTATGATCTAAAATTGGGATTTTAAGAATATGTGGAATTATTTGAAGGTATAACCATTGTTATTTGATCATTCATGACGCTTATTGAGTGTGATTTAATTAAAAAAAAAAAATCCGGCCTTAATCTTTGACAAGATGATAACAGCAAGTGGTTTCATGCTAAAAAGTAATTTGTATTATGATAATATATGTCATTAATTCATTCCACTAAATAGTATTTACAAAATGAGCTTCTTTAAATGGTTTGTTTTAACGGAATTTAAATGATGATATAGTTACAGAAAATAGTACAATAAGCTACTTTGAGGAATACCGCCACCCCTCATTTTTTCTTGATTTGGCTTGGAGGCCGTACCCTAGTCCAAAATGTTTAAAATATACCATTTACACAATCTTATTTCTCTTTATAATTCAAATAAAAAATTAATTCATCTGAAATTTTTAAAAATCATTACGTCATTTTTCCTTACTGTTTTGTAGCCTCTCATTAAAAAAATCAAATTACCGATATTATTAAAACTATAACACTAGAAAATAGTCCAAAAATAAAAATATAAACACCACTAAATATTAATAAAATATTAGAATTTTTAAAAAACTAATTTATGAAACAGCACATTATTTTACGTCGTTTCGATTTTTCATTCTGTGACATCACATCCCCGTCCATAGCAACCGAACGGGACCATCGTATTGTCTACGTGTCGCTATACAGTCGAACGCTGTTATCTCTGGTCGAATGCTGTTATCTCTGGTCGAACGCCAGGGCCACCACTAACTGGTGTAGTTACAGATCACAGATTGGATATTGTGAGCTTCTTTAGAATTTCTTCTAATGTTGGACCACGGTGGTTAACAGTTGTTTCAACTCTTTGAAAAATATGACCCTAACTTGTGCATAGTTCTAAAAAATCCGCCAGAGGTCGTAAGTTTATAGTGGACCACGGTGGATGACAGTTGTTATAGTTGTTTCAACTCCCTTTTAAAACAAAAGTAAAACGTGGTTGAAATTGATTAAGATAACGAGTAAAAATTTTCGGCAGAACACTGTACGGCAAAGAAATGGCGGCTCATTTTTACTTGCCAGAAGTCAGAGGCGCAATCGTACAAATCAGTTTATTTGTGGATCAAATATAGGTTTCACTCGCTACTTAAAAGGGCACTTGTAGCTAAAGAGGATGTACACGACTGAGTGTTCAAATTCGCAGCCCTTATTCTCTTTCTTTCAGCAGAACAGAGAAGCAAGCTAGATGAAGACTGAGAGCAAAGAAATAATAAAATAAAAAGTGTTGTTTATGATTATAATTTATTTGTGATTTTTTTTTATTAATTTTAATTATATTTGTAGATTTAAACCCAGCCCAATTTGCAATTGTTTTTATTGGAGAACATCACTATAAGGTTTTCTATATTAGTATCTTTATATGTTTTCACTCGAAACCTATCTTTTTTTCTATTCAGATAAAAATAAAATCATTTATATTTGATGCGCCATTATCACCACTCCCCCCATACCAATATTTATGATCTTTTTATTTCAGAATAAAACAGAGCAAACACCTAAGTAACGTTTAAATGTAAAGTTGCTTTTATGCTCAAAATAAATTAAAACCGTTTTAAAAAATTGTTTTTACCTTCAATCTCCATAGCGCTCCTAATTTCTATTTCCTGATGCCTTGGATTACATTGTACGATTGCAAAAACCGTCAAAAGGACCAATACAAATACAAAGGCTTTCATTGTTGACGGTTTAGACGTACCTGGAGAACTGAATTTAAAATTTACTGTTTTTTTTTACTATTATATTTCCTTTAACTGATAATTTTAATAGGTGGTCCTATCAGTAGCAAAAGCACAATTAAAACTGTTGTACCTACCTTAATTTAAAAGCGACATATTGCTTGTTAAATAATATAACAAGGAAAAACCTTATTTTTCATAAAATTGACTCATTAATTTTCCATAAAAAACGTTAATTATTTTTTTATTACAAATTGGAAAGAAAATAGATATACTTAGTTTTAAGTGTTTATAAAACTTACTAGTCTTTTACTACTGAAAAGTTTTTGTTTAAATTAAGAAATGGAAATATTTATTTTCTAACTAGTGTAAAAAAGTGAGATAGGAACATGAATTTTACTAATGCCAAGTATAAAAATTAAAAATCGCATACAAATTTTGTTGTATGATGTATAATTCCAACAATATTTTATTTAAAATATATACCGTGGGTTATTTAACCCAAAAGTAGATTCACAATTAATTAATTACATTTTAATAAAGAAAAGTAACATTTATATTACATTAAAATTCCTTCATTTCAAAGAAAAAATCTTCAATATAATTCAACTTTATTTACGAAGCTTATAAAATAAAACCAACCCAATAAACACAGTTATTCGGCACCGTAACTGGGCCGAAATAGGCTTTCCGGATGCCGGACTCTGCCCGGTATATGAGTGCAGCTTCGGCATATAGGTATGGCATATCCGCCCAGCCGAATGTCGGCAGCCCACTCCATTGTAGCTGCGTTTATGGGTGAGTCAGGAGGAGCGCACCAAACTCTAGGAGTATATTATACACGTGAAAATAATGTAAAAAAACTCATATGTTCTTATCCGATTTTCATTTGTTTTCAAGTTATGGCGTAATTAAAAATGTTCATCTAGCATCTAGCTTTCCACTTCTGAATTTTAACATTATCAAAGTATGCCATATGTTCAAGGCTCAAAGGCATTTGATAATTCTGACGTTTTGATGAACTGTCAGTGTACAGTGAACAGTAACTGAACGTCTAATTTCGAATTTATGTGATTGTTAGAAAACGTTTAGAAGTCAATGGCAGTATTTTTGAACATTTATTGAAAGAACGCTATGATTAAGAGAATTTTTATGTGTAAATTTGTTTATTTGTTAATATGCTATAACTTGAAAACAAATGAAAATCGGATATATTACAAGTATATATAAACGACTAACCAGAAAAGATAGAGATTCTCCCATGGGAATTCAACTCTAAACATACACAACACTCTTATCCTAGGCGTAATAATAAAAAATAATTTTTTATATAAAATTGTAGCCCAGAAAACGAGATCGTTAAAAATTTCCTTTACTTTTGTTTCGATACCAAGTACTTTTAGCATCAAATCAATCTTGCGATACTTACTTGGTATCAAAACGAAAGTACTTCCCAGACAGCACACCAAATCCTTTGGATATCTACTGAACATCCCAATATCCACTGAATGTCCAGTCCATGGTGGATATCTATTTTATATCCATGAAATGTAATTTATAGACATGCAAATGTCCATAAATAATTGTAATTATATAGCAAATTATTAAAAAATTACGCCATTGTGGCTAATAGTACCGTTGAGATATTTAAAATTAATTTTTTTTAAGGTGTATTCAATATCCCATGGACATCCACTATAAATATAAATATATCAAAGTCTAAGCGCGGACGCAAACCATCGTGGATATCTACTAGATATAATTTTTGATTTTGCTTCCTAAGTATAGATGGTGATACCACTTTCGTATCTACTCATGCTTAACCCGCCGTAATTGAGTTTGATCGACATTGTTTCACAAACAGACTTCATTAGAGACTGAAGTCGAGAAGTTCCATTTATTGCTGAAGATTCCTAATAAGGATGATTTTCTCCTTAGTATGCAAAATCAAAGGCAGATTGTTGGGAATATTTTTTACCTCTATTTTCTTTCGACGTTATTCAATAACCATTGGTTACTTATAAACCTCTACTAAAAATAATTATAAAATATTTATCTGAATTTCTATATCCTGGGATATAGACGGACATTTGGTTGGATATCCATAAAATATATTCTATGGATATATCTGGGATTTCTTGTATTGTCTGGAGATACTCATTAGATATTTTGATGAATATCCATAGGATATCTTCTATATTCTGGATATAGACGGACATTTGGATATCCATATTAGTTCCACGGAATATTTCTGATATCCTGTGGATATATTGGATATCCACAAAATATATTCTGTGGATATCTCTGGGATTTGGTGTGTTGTCTGGGTTGGTATCGAATTGAATCACACTTCACACTGAAGAACGAATGAAACTTGACAATTACACTGAACGCATTTTGGTGAATAAATCAGATCATTGGGATCATGAAGAGGCTGTAAATAAACTACAAACATTAGTTAATCAAAAAAATAACTGGACCAAAAGATGGCGCATTAAATGGCGTATTAGAAGGCGTATTAGAAGGCGTATAAGAAGGCGTATTAGAAGGCGTATTAGAAGGCGTATTAGAAGGCGTATTAGAAGGCGTTTTAGAAGGCGTATTAGAAGGCGTATTAAACTAAACTAAATCTGCTAATATTAATTTTACTAACAAAAATGGTCAAAGAATACCAATTAACATAAATAATGCCCGATTCCCTTATGCTAACTCAGTAAAATATCCAGGTATTGCATTAGATGCAAGACTTTGCTGAAAGGTCCATGTTAAAAAGAAAAGTCAAGAGTTAAATTAGATAAAAAAAATTCAAGAAAATGTACTGGTTACTTGGTAGGCATTTCATAACAAAATTCTTTTATATAAACAAGTCCTCGAATCAATTTGGACCTATGGTAATCTCTAGGGTTGAGTCAGCAAAAGTAATATATTCTAATACTCCAGAGATTCCGGAACAAAATATTAAGGAGCGTTTTCAATGCACAATGCTCTAAGAGCAGTGTATATAACATATGTAACTACAGTTTGGGCCAAGTACCTATGTGAAGGATACAGAAAAATTAATTTAGCCGACTGAACAAATCTATTAATGATAATAATATATATGATGAATATCAAACTGGAATTATGATTATGGCAGAAAATTCAGACAATGAAGACTGTTTTTTATTAGGTTTTTAAAAAAAATTGGATGGTTCAAAACAAAAAGAAAAGTTTTAACCGAATTCCCATTAAATCCTAATTATCATATCCTAGAATAGTGTAATATATGATAGAAAAAATATGACTTATCGAGAAGTATTTATTTTATTTTTTTGTTTGTGGAATTTTTGTACATCTAGCGCCGCCGCCACTGGTCGGCAAATTATCGAAGATCCAGTGGAACAGTTGAATACCAAACTATTCGTCCCGTAAAATTTTTGAACTTTCCATTGGTCATCTAGGCCTCTGATAGTTTTAAACATTCTGTTGTAAAAATCTTTTATGTTATGATAGGAAAGTAGACAGGAGTAAGATGTTTTTATAAATGCTACCTGCTAATTTCGATATCTATACATCAGTAGCTAAATTAATGAAAAGGTTTATATTTTAGAAAAATAAGTATTGAAGCTCGTCAAAGACATCTGGCGGCCTCAATCATAAACATCAAAAGCACGGTTCAATTACTTCAAAATTAAGCTGTTCGTAAATATTTCATCCAATAAACGTTAGCAAATTTGACAGTTGACAGATGAGCGTTTCAATTCTAATTTCGTTAAGATTCGGGTAAACGCCGCTTAACGTACTGACGTTTACTATTTTGAGCAAAACAGAGCAAAACAAATTTTGTGCATATAGAAAACCCGAATTATTTTATTTTTGTGTGTGTGTAGTAAGAAAGTTGTACTTAATGCCCGAACAAATTGATTTTTTGAATATTCCCAAAGCATAAGAACTCTTTTCGAGGATTAGTTTGGTATGTACAAATATTTTTTATCGTATGTGTATGTGTGCCGTCTATTAAATGAATAATGTGGAACTGACATTCTAGTATTACGAAATACTAATCGTTTTATTGGATTTTGTCTTCACAGGTGCGATAGTGCAATAGCAGGATACATTTTGTAACAGTAATCAAATCATTTGTTGATGTTAAATGCATTATAGTTTGATAACACTATCTGTATTTTTTATTAGGTCCCAGCATCTTATTTATTTGCATACTAGCTTATTTAACACGAATTCATTATTTTAATCGAGCCAAATTATTGACTATTCTACATGTATTTAGATCCCACTATTTGCCTAGATATCTATTAAACTTCCTTTATACAAGATACAATTAATTTTGCTTTGATGAGACTTGAACTATCTAAAACAGTTATGTTATAACGAATATCCTATTAATGAAAAACTAGTGAATATAATTGATGAAAGTAGGCAGGTACTTATGTATTCAAGAAGATAAACTTACAGAAGTATGGAAAACCTGAATCATAGTATCTATTCCTGAAAAAGTATCTACTCTCTATTCAACTTAAACTCAAATAGACCCATGACCACAGCATGATACTCACAATTGCTATTGGCCAGGCCATGGATCTTGTTTTGAATGTTTCCCTACCCTCTAGCTCAATGTGCTGTGGTCATAGGGATAGTTGTGTTTATGCTTTATTTGCGATTAAGTTGAACAAAGTTAAGTTACTATAAATATAAGCCTACACTTATATTACTCCTATGGGCAAGAGTAATGTAGAATGACTATACATATGGCATTTCATTGTAGGTATATATTGCTCAGCATTTTCAAAGTATGTCCAGCACTTGATCATGTACAGCAAAACACTGTTTTTGTCCAGTAAAAATTAAACATAAAATAAAAAATATCCAAATGAAATATTCTAATAATTTCTTATTAATTATATTCTTATTGAAATATACAATATGTTCTTCGATAACTAAGCACATCTTTTTTACTTGGTGGTTTTTTGTATAGGATAAAAAGAAAATTGCAATTTTTTTGTTGTGTTATTTGCAATGTTTATGTTCCTATTGTTTGTGTTTTTAGAAGTTGTTCTGTTTTTATATCTAAGACATGCACATTAAAAATATACAATTGGAAAAACATTTACCTTAAAATATGGTGGTATTCAGATAAATTATAAAAACATGAATCTACTAAATAGTTTTTAAGTTTTCTTTTAAAAGGTTCATATTTCTTTTCAAATTTAATGAAATAGGGAGTTAATTAAAAAATTTAATTCCAACAAGTTCAGGCAATTTCTCAAATAATGCTGTTGAATGTCTTGGTGTTCTGAATAAATTTGCATTCCTAGTTGAGTATTCATGGTAATTTGAATTTTGTAAAAATTGGTGTATGTTGCGTTTAGCATATAGCAACGTTTTATAAATGTAAATACAGGAAAATGTTAATATTTAAAAATTTTTGAAGTTTGCATTAATTCTAGATTAAAAATAAGCCGGATTATTCTTTTCTGTAAGATAAATACTTTAGATGCATTGACTGCATCACCCCAAAGAATAATGTTGTATGATATATGAGAATATGCTAAAGCATAGTAGACATTAAGCAGTTGCTCTTGGGTAAATATTGATTTTAATTTTAGTATAGTATGCGCTGTTTAATTTTTTACAAACATTAGATATTTGGCTATCCCAACCCATATTGCTATCAATACTTATGTATGCCCAAAAATGTTGTAACATCTGAGAGCATAATTTCTGCATTATTGACATTTATTTTGCAATTCTGGGTAATTTGATTTCTGAAGTAGAACTGAAGCAAACGGTTTTGTTTGAATTAACAATTTAAGAATTTCTATAACACTATGATGTAAACTCATTAGATAAAACATTTAATTTACTAATTAATTCATCTACTGATTGTGTGTTGGTGGCAATTGTTGTGTCATCTGCATATAAAATTATGTTTTTTGAGTTAATATAATTAGGCATATCATTTATGTAGCATAGAAAAATTAGAGGTCCTAAAATTGATCCCGGAGGCACACCCATATCAACACTTTCTAGTTCAGATTTACAATTTCCGACTTTGACGTAGATCTGTTTGATATTTATATAAGATGACAATCAAGACAAAAAGTTACCTCTAAAACCAAGCTCTTCCAATTTTTGAATACCGACATCTAAGTTGATTGAATCAAACGCCTTTGATAAATCAAAGAAAAGCGCACCCACAAACAACTTTTGATTGATAAAAGTATGTATGCAATTAAAAAGATCTATTGCTGCACTTTCAGTAGATTTTTCTGGAAGGAATCAATTTTGATTTTTGCATATTCTTTCATATTTTTTAAGAAATAGCATTTTTTTGTGGACACACTTTTCAAAGAATTTGCCAATTTTATGCTTTCATTGTCTACGTTTTGTTAATTATCTATAAGTATATTTGACTTCAAAACTGGTCACAATAATTATATCAAAAGTATTAAAAAATTAACACATAGTTCATTATAAAAATATATTTTAATGGCCTCTGTTCTTTTGAAACAACTGCTCTAAAATATTTTCAATAATTCTAATATTTTTCAGATTGTGAAATGTTCACAATGCGTCTTAAACTAGGATCTGACAGAAACAAAGAATGGACATGTTGTTTTTGTATGCACGTCCGTACAGCTACCATACTGTTTGGAGTATGGCACTTGGTAAGTAAACAACGAACGTAAAAGTTATTTATTTTAATTGTGGTGCAAATAAATGTTATTTCTTGGATACTTGAAGTTTTAATAAATTATTCTTAGGTGTTGCACATTTTGGCTCTCACTGTACTTGCATTGATGATGAGAAATCATCATGTCATTGTACAAAAGAATGAAGAATTTCAAAATGATTTTTTGCCAACACCTTTGAGCAAAAAAGATGATGACAATCCGTATTATTTACCTACAACGCAGGACAGTCGCAAAATTTATTCATGTGAGTACCAATAATCACTTGGTTTGCGTTTTAATTTTTATTATTTAAAAATATTCATTCCCTTCGCCGTCATATCACGACTAACAATGTCCCAACATGTTTTTAACCCTTACCTCAGCATGAAACATAAAAAAATGTTTTTATTTACTGAATAACTTTTATTTAGCTGATATTGATATGGGAGCTTTGATGACTGTTTGTACTCTCTCCATCACTCTCCTAATGGTTTATGGAACAATTAAGGGCAAACCTACTCATGTCTTGCCGTTTTTCTGCTTGCAGCTATTTGATTTTGCTATCACAGCGTAAGTATTTTTATAATGTTTATGAGAACAATGTATTAAGAAAATGTTAAAGAATGTGAATATATAGGGAGTTATTGAAATAAATGTAGATATTAAAACAGCTTAATATTTATACCATTAATTGAAGGAATGATTACGATTATGTAGACAGTTGGTGGCACATGAGAAACTTTTTAATTATTAATATTAGGAAAAAAGTTATTCTTCATAAAAAGGCGATCATGGTTTAAAATCTAATATACAACCATCGGATATCAAATTTTATTAATCGTATACGAGGTTTGTCAAAAATAAAGGAACTTTACTCTTCAGCAAAATTCATAATGTATTTCAATAACACTTTGTATATTATAATAATGAACAATTTGATTATAAATATAATTACAATTACAGTGATTAATTTTTTTTAGTTATTCACAAAAGAAATTTCACAAACACATTGTTATAATTCTCAAATTTTTTTCAATTTTAATGGTTTATAAAACAAAAATAAATATTTTCCAGCCTTACAGCCACTGGATACTTTTGCTATTTAAGATCCGCTCACCGTTTGGTCGCTGAAAATTGGAACTTACCACTAAGACATGAATTATTACAACTGAGCCCACAAGTTCTTACTTTAATTGTCTTGTTGGCGTTCTTGTTTTCTATGTTGTGGAAAGTAAGTACTTTAAATATAACACTTGAGTAAAGAAACATTGAATAATTCTTGAATCAAAGGTACTGGAGTGGGGTAGCAAAGAAAGGAGTCATTTTAAATTTCTCCGGTTTTTAGTCACTTCGGGGTCAGTGTTCTAGACTAGTCCCACAGGTACGAATTTGGTACGAAGGACTTAAGTAATGAATCTGTTTTTTGTTTTAAAGTTATCTTCCAAGAAATAATCAACTATAAGTTCACTGTCTTTTAAATTTGACTAATAATATTTAAAATGCGAAAGATCACAATAAGCTCTTTAGCTATGAAACATTATCACTTAGCCGTACTTTCAAACAGTTTAGGAAAAGTTTAATACCATAATACGAATATCTTTCTATAGGCTTATTGGATTAGCGTAATTTGGCGCTGTTACAAATACCTAACGCTTCGACAACAGTCGAACCGCAACGCCATCCATTACATCATCCCTGAAACCGATCAGCGCGGACTCGCCGAAGCGGACTATCCGTCCTTGTTTCGCGATCAAGAAGGCGTTTTCGGCGGCCTCAAACAAACTCCGCCGCCGTCTTATCAGGATATCATGGAAGAACAACCGCCGCCGTACCACAGCACTACTCAAGTTGTCCAGGAAACGCCCAACAGGTTCAGAATTTTTATACAGAATTCTAATGATAACCCAGTAAGTATTTTATTATTCATGTATTCATATCATAAATGATATGCAAATTAAATCCTACTCGACCATTCTCTGTTGGGTTCTAATTAACAGTGCTGTTCCTAAAGTGGCGCTGGGAAACACTTTTTATTTCTTTGAAATAAAACTATATATCAAAATCATAAAACTATTCGTGTGCCGACTCTAAGTAATCAACTAATTACGGAGGCGGCACTTAAAAAGAGTTAAACTATTAAGTATACAAAACAACTACGGCAGACGCATTTTTGTTGTGAACATTTTAACGCAGACGCACTCAAAGTTATTTTAATTCCCGATAAAATTGGACGGTTAAAATGGGACTGAATTTAAACGAACAAGGTTGAATTCTTCCACTCTCACGATAGTGCCTAACCGCTGACTTAGCCAGATCTAATTCATCCGCAGTTTCACGTAGTTTACTAATTCATACATCTCTGCGAAATTTGCTTTCCTAAAATTATAAGAGTGCTGAAAAGGGCTTTCAAATCTCTTATTTACCTCTGATATATCAAGACCATTATAAGCTATGTCAAGTGATGGGTGATACTTATCTTCCGCAACTAATGGATCCAGAGATCTCTCAACCAAATTAAACTTATTACATAAAACTAAGTCTAACATTTTGTGATATTCATTGTATACAAAATTGTTCTGTGATAGTGCAAAGAACTCCATGAAATTATTAAGTAATGAGATATGTCTATTACAAAAGGTAAAATTACGTAGGTGGGATACATAATCTGTAATATTAAAGTCACCTACAATCAAGAATGACGCATTATATAAAAAATCTTAAGTTCCAAAAGATTCAAAAAAGTTTTTGTAATCTATTAGTGTAGTTTTAGGGGGCATATAAGCATTAACAATATATGTTATTTAGTTATTTATACTGACTAAATAACTTTCCCAGAAACCATCGTTTCATGAGTTTTGTTTTAGATTTAAGTGGTATTTATTTGCTTATTTTGTATTTTGAATTAATACAACGTTTAGTTATTTATACTGACTAAATAACTTTCCCCCAGGAATCACCGTTTCATGACTTTTTGTTTTAAATTTAAGTGGTATTTATTTGATTTTATTTGCTTATTTTGTATTTTGATTCAATACAAAGTGAAGCTATTTATACTGTTTAAATAGCTTCACAGCGATCACCGTTTCATGAGGTTTTTTTAGACGTAAGTGGTATTCATTTATTTAATTGATTTATATATATTTTTACTCATTATATTTCGTTGAATTTCTGGTGTTTATCTTATCCACCCCGTACTTTACATATTTTTTATTCTTTCAGAGTTATCTCAAAGGTGATTGCCATAAAGTATCTGTGGGTAGGTATTATTGTTTTTGGGTGTTTAGTTATCTTTCCGTTTTACCCCACTAGTAGCTGGGCCTGGAAGTTATCTTACTCCACTAAGTGCACTCTAGGTGCACTTGAGGGTCGTAGAGTAAACTGCGTTAGCAAAACTGACGCCCGAGCAACCCTTATTCTAATTTCACCACTCTCAGCGCCACCCACGACTTCCATTTCACAGTAGGTGCAGCCAGAAGCCTGTCACAAACCAATAACTTATAAGTATTTGTTATATTCTTTATTTTATACACGATAACTATATAAATCCGAACATTTAGTTTTCATGATATTGTGCATTTTTTTTTTTGTTTATTTATTTATTCGTCTACAAACCATTTAAATATTTTTATTTTAAATGAAAGACCTTAGTAATTAAATAATTTGGTTTGTGTAAATTAAAGTTTTCAATCAGTTGTTGTTTGTCCGAATATTTAGTTGTTAGGGCTCGTAATGTAAAAATATAATTTTTAAGGAACCTAGTACATCTGCTGAAGCTTCAAGCATAACTTCAATCCCTGAATCTGATGCCGAAATGACTACCCCATTGGCTGAGCAAGTAACACCATATCCACAAACTGAAAATCAAGAAGTACAACAACAAGATGATGATGATGAAGAAGAAGATGTAGTCGCTGTTACTGTGGTCGAACTGAAGAAGAATGAAGAAAATGCGGTCGATGAGGAAATTGAGAAATCTCCTGCAAAATCTATCGATTCTCAGAAGACAGACTAAAATCGTTTACGATAACAAAAAAATTATGATCTTATTTGAAATTGTTCACTTTTTATCACATGTCACTTTTGGGACTATATATATATAATATATCTCCCAATTTTTTGCTCCAATTTTAGCTAGTTATACTGATAAAAGAAATATATCTGTTTTGATTGCATTATATTTACGGATTGAATTTATTTGTCAAATTTCGGCATTCCACTTTGCACTATTATAAAATATTAAGCGTACTAATAATTTCGTATGGTTACTTAACGCGAAAGACTTATAAGAATTAGTAGATATTTTTTTTTGAAGTTTCTAAATTCAAAATACTCCAGAACAATGCTATTTTTTTATTTAACCATTTTTTTTTTTTTTTTTTTTTTTTATTATATATTAGATATTTTTAATTTTTTGTGAAAGACCTTGGAAAACGAATTGAAAGAACGTTACAGAACATGTAAGTAATAAATTCAATAAATCTTTATTTTTTTTTAATTTTAAAACAAACAAAAAATTGTTTTTTTTTTTAATTTATATTTTTCAACATAGTCGATACACTTTTCCCAGTGATGCTCTGATCTTTTTTATCCTCCAAGTAATAGGTGGCGACTTGCGGTGCAAAATATGTCGACGAGTGGTGTAAATTTTTATTCTTGGTGCCGAAGTTTAATCAGAGGAAACAAGAAAAAAATAGTTGGGCGTCAAATAAAGTTTTTGAGAACCATTTTGTGAATGTTGTCCGTTAGGTCGCAAGTCTTGATGGAGCAATCTTTCCTTTCCTTCTTGCCTTTTTAATTTTTTTGAAAACCTCTCACTTTTCTGCTTATATTTTTTTTATATACTTTTTTTTTTATTTTTAATAAGGAATGGTTTTATATGTTATTCATCGTTGCTGTTTATACAAGAGTATCCAATGACTTTTTTTTACAAATATTTCATTTTGATAAAGTTGTTAGTACATATCTTAATTTTCTTGAAATAATAGATCGGATATTGTTTTAATAAAAACAAAATTTATTTTGGTTTCTCTAAAATCCATCCATTTCTACATTCTCATGCTGTAAATTTCGCTCTATTAGTCTAAACTGATACCGTTTGAGAATCAATATGCACTATAAATAATTACTAATCTGTCACAATACAAATGTGTAAACAAAAAAAAAAACTTAAAATAGGTAATAGTAAAATTGTCAAACCGGAATTGTTTATCTACTTTTTAATTTTCCGCAAACTCAACTCCAGATTTTCTCTTTTTTTAATATTAGATAGTTTAAAAAATTAGAAGCCATTAAAATTTAATCCAATTTCAGTTTGACAAATTTAGAAATAGTATTTTGAACAAAATAGTTAAAAACGAATAAGCCAAAATTAGTCAACACTTAAAATAGTTGATTGATAATTACAATTAAAAATATACATTAGATTAGTGGCTTCACATATATGGGGAAAAATGTCCTCTAAAATATATCGGTACATCCAGCGAGTGCGAAAAAGTCCTATTATTTCACCGTAAACTTGGGCGCCAAAATGTGACGCATTTTCTGTTCAGGATGAAGGGAAACTAAGTTTTGGAATAAATAAGCAAATATCCAAATTTATTATACAAAGATTATCTCGTATATCTGAGTAGACTTGGCGTAATATATGCCTCATGTTAGTTTTTCCCCGTGTTGGACCAAATGTCCCCAAACTTATAGGACGTTGCTGAACTGTTGCAATTATTTATTTTTTGTAACAGTTGCAGGTATTCTAAATCTTAAAACACCCCTGTGTCCACTAAATCATCGTCATCATTAAAAAATAAAGTAAACTTTACACTCGAGGACCAGATTATAGACTTTGGACATAAATGGTGAATATTTCATATAGTTAGGTGTGGGACTTCTTCGAACTAATTGGCCACCTTGTATATACAGGACATTTAAACGAATAGTTAAGAACTGACGAACGTTTGTATGGAAAATATTCATTAAAACATTTCGTTGTTAATGAACATATCGATTATCAAAAGTTGCTCTTGCATGCCAATTTTATAGTATTTATATTGGTGAATATTTTTCATACACTCTAGGGTAACTGTTTTATTAGAATAAAATAGACCATTTATATATCGCTAATTAATAATTCTCAAAATAAAATTTCATTTGTATGTAAGAAAAAGAACACTATATGTAACATATGAGAATATTGTTAGGGTTAAAAAGTAGTTGCAGCAAATAATATAATGCATATTTTTTGTTATTCTAGCATTACTATGTGTAGAATTGGTCTCTATTCTTCTATGTGCCTTATGAGTTTTTGAATAAGTCTTATAGAGATGATCATTGGTAAATTGCTAGTAGCTTTTTAATATTGTAATAATTTGTCTAATTTGGATGTTACCATATAAGTAAATTAACTTTAAAAGATAAAAAAAAGGTATATATACAATAATCTCATATGATACATAAATTAATCTTTTTATGTGGGCGCCAGTCAAAGGTAGCAACTTAACTTAAAAAGCGAAATAGATATTTTTTCCGCCAAAAAATAGGAAAAAGGCTGCTAGAGGAACATTGTGATGGACTGTATACTTTTTTCTTAATTTAACTTTACTGAAAAAAATAATCAACCTACAAGACTTAAATCATCTTACTAACAAACTGTTTATATCATCTAACTACTTTCATTGCTACGGCCATTCAATCAAAGTGTTTTTAATCGTAAATTTCAACTATAATCTCAGATGCTACATTTGACTTGCCGTTTAGAATAATTAATCCTAAAAATTGTATTTTATTTGAATTTAAAATGTGCAACATGTTGTAATTCTTAGTAAATGTTATAAAAAAATATTTATTATAAAGGATTTAAAATTTATTCACCTTAAATCCAAGAACAAAGTCCAGTTTTTACCGACCACAGTGGGTGATATGACCGATCTAGCGTCCGAAAATTATGTGTTAATTTATTTATCACTCTAAAGCATTATATTATACATTTTTTGTGTTGATACTAAAATACAAAAAATATACTACTGAAGATTTAAATATAATGTAAAAAAAGCCTTTTTATCTACAACTTAAACTAGGTACAAAAACGAAAGGAAAATAGAGTTTATTCGGATTCCAAAAACTACAGGTAAACAGAATAATAAAATATGAATTAAAAAAATACAGTTAGCAACATAAAAGAGTACCAAAATGTCATACGACCTCGAGTAGGTTTAGCTTTCGCTATCAGAGCTTGATGCAGGACGTATCAGAATGATGTGGCTCTAGTAACTTGGGATCACAAAGCAACTTCCTAATTTCTACATTCGGAGTCTCCGATCTGCGCTGCTGAATTGACGTTGTTCTGGAAATAGAATAAATACGGGATTTGAGGAATAAGGCAAGGTATTAAATAAGTCATGCATGGTACTTTGCGGGACATTTTTCGGGTGTAAAATTCTCTGTAGTTTCGAAAATCTTTATTTCTACATTCCATTGCTTCTTCTGATAGCATGCCAATAGGCAACACAGCAGCGAGAATTAATTCTTCCTCAGTATTTTGCTGTATGAGTGGCGACACTTTAGAAAGCTTTGAATGTTCACTCGAATCTACAAAGCTCTTTTTAGGTCGCCCAACTCCTGATGGACCAGCAACTGCTTCTGCTGGTAGAGCTGCCTCTTTTTGTATTCGAAGCTTGACGGTAGCGTTGAGCCATTTCGTCTCTATTGCCACTAAAACTTGTCCATTTTTCCGCGAACTTGCTACATAGATTTTGAACAGTTTTTTTAACGTTCTTTTATTTTTCATCATTTTCATAAGTGTCGTCCAATTTTCTCAGACATAATTTAAAACGGCCGAGCTTCGATCAGCAGCCCGATTTTCATTACGCCATACTTCAAGTAGCTCCCTACGCGTTATCGTATCTAAAAAAATCGGTAAGATTGAGTTCGCAGACCTTCGCAGCTAATTTTTTCGTAAATACCAGAAAATACACCTAACAATACGATAATACAAAAATCATCACCGGGTCATGCGGATTTAAGTACTAAAAGACCCAGCATAGTATTAAAAACAAAGATAAATGCAATATTTCGCATATAGCAAAATTACAATTTTTTTTACCATGTCAGGTTTTTCAGAAAAACTGAACAAAAATATTTTAGTGAGTATTTACCACAAAGTTGCACATTCTAAAGAAAACTTACAGGCGCCACTCACACTTCGAGAGAGATTGTTTCAAATACACGGCATATTCGCAACTAAATAGTATTCAAGTACTGACAAGTTATATGTATCCGAATTTAAAGAACTTTATCTTGGATAATAGTAAACTGGTCACATTATTTTGAATTTCAATAAGTGCGCTGGTTATCAGAGACTAAATAAATAATGAAAAATTTGGAATATAAAGTAATTGCATTTTCTAATTTTTGGACACTAATTGTGTGATATTGCCCACTATGCGACGAAGGCAAAAAATGGCGCCCAACGTGGGTCGGAAGCTTTCTGTAGAGGATTTCAGTATTGTAAGTGGACTAAGTAAAGAACTTAAATATTGTCTTTGAAGATATGTACAACTTCATATTCTGGCATGTACAATAATTATAATATTTATGCTGACATCTCTGCGTAGTTTCCAATCAATCTTCGACCGCCATTTTTTAAGTACATGAATTTTTTTAACTAAGAAGTAAAAAATACGGGATAAATAAAAAAGATTAATAATTATTTTACTTTTATTATTGAAATACAATATACTTATTCTTAAAATAGTTTGTACTTAACAAGTATCCTTAAATAAAAAATAAATCATTTGTGTTTCAGAATACAGTAATAATACTTAGAAATGAATGTATTACTAGGAATTTTCTAAAGAAAGTATTAAAACTTTTATAAGAAGCGTATTAAAAATATTAATGATTTGCGACGATTTTTAATATATACAGGGTTAGCCAACCAAAAATATAAAACATTGAGTGTTTTGGTTTCACTGTTTCACCCTGTATATAATCTGATGAATAAACTAATCTTTGGATGCAATAAACATTTTTTTTTTTCATCGGAAATTCATTTAATATATAGAAACTTTACCTGCATTGCACATCTAAATCATAAACAAGGCATTTTCTGGTATTAAATATTTTTTCTAATGAGCTTCGATACATCAGAAAGTTCCTCATGTCATAGAGTCAAAAAAACTTAAACAATAAAAGATCTGATTCATAAAAATTAAAATTTTATGTAAGTTTAAAAAAATATATAATATAGATATCACAAAATAAAAAAAATTGCCACAAACGACCGAAAATGTAATTTCAATTGTAGTAATTGCACAAATTTAATAATCTCTTGAAATAATACTCTAGAGACTTGAATGAAATATCAGGACTTGGTAGGTAACAAATTGGAATAGTTGAAAAGTTAAATTTATCCAATACAGCAACTATCTAAAAAAATTAAATATTTTTTAACTCGAATAATACTAAAAATAATGAAACCATCATGATATATCTAATTGAAATCTTCTAAATATAATACCGATAAAATTACAAATATATTCTGATTATCTTAATTTTTTCCATTCATAATCAGACTTAAAAATATAGTACTGTTTATATAATAGCTTTTTTAAAACATATTCATCACAGTTTGTTCCATTGTAAAAGAAATATAATTACGTTCACGATTATTGTTAATAATAATCGTGATTATACTCTCTTATTAATATTGGCACAGAACAGTTATTTATTATTTAGTTACTTTATACTACTTTTTACAAAATTGCAATGTACAATATAAGATCACAAAACTGTAAAAATTATTCATTACGGAATCAACAATTTTTATTCGACCGTTTTTACATTACACTGGTTTTTTTCATTGTACAAGGTGTCTCAATTAGTTTTTCATTTTTTATCGCAATGAGTACGGTTGTGTCAAATAGCCGAGCTCCGAGAGCAAGCCAAGTTTAAGTTAAGTGTATCGTATAACGCCACAAATAATAAAAACAATGATTGTTTATAGTTTAGTATTTTGTAACATTGTTTAGTTTTAAATCAGATGACAAAATTAGTTCAAAAAATAATACCTCAGGAAAAGATGGAAAATCAGGTACTTCTGAATTAAACAGAAAGAAACATATTCCGACCTAAGAGAAATTAAGGCAGGAGTACTTCAAGGTAGTGTACTCTACTTGTTGGGTTCGTAAGTTTGAAGCTCTGGAAACAGATTGTGAGAGCATCAGTGAGGCAAGAACAAAACTTGTCAGTTCGCGTGGATTTGCTTTATATGTGACAAAAGTCTCATACATTGAATTCTTAAGAAGGATTTATTAACGAACCCGCAATTCAGATACTGGAAGAATTGAAGCAACGAAATGTTAAACCCTGTTTCTATCTTTCAACATTTTGTTCTCTTATGAAGTTTTCACATTAATAGCTGTGTCAATAAACAAAATTGTTGTTACTGGTGTGAAATGAACCCTAAAAGAAAACTACAGAGGCCTTTGTATAAACCAAAGGTCACAATTTGGACCGCCATTTCAGCATTTGGAATTTAATAGATTTGATCAATAATTCTGGTGTTAAGCCAATATGGCGCCACCAAATGCAAACATATTAAGTTGGTACATATGACAGTTAGTGCTCCCTCTCTCCGACTTGTCAATCGACCAGATTAATTCAAATGCAGACTCCAAAAAGAAAAGATGTATGTGAAATCGCAACAGGTTTTGTACCGACCTTTTATGCCATCCTATTTAATAATTGTAAATAGTGTAAATAAAAATGTAAATAACTTTTTAATGTTTGATTTCCAAACATTTCGAATCGTTGTTTGCCTGTTGTTCAGACGCTTATTCCTGGAAAACAGATTTCTCGAGGATGAGACATAAATTGACCACCTTGACAATCTGGAAGACTTTAGGGACAATATTCGGGCAGAAATGGAAGCCATAACTAAGTAAACTTGTTAAAGTGTGAAAGCAAATTTTAGAGTTCGATTTCAAGAATGCCAGGAGAAAAATGAGGAACATTTGGCCCAAGTACTAATAATAATAAAATTAATTTCCCAAGTTTAAAAAAAAAAAAAAACAAAATTGATGGATTTTTTTTACTCGAATTCCAAAAGTGAAACACTAAAAGAGATTTGGTGAGTTTGGGAACTAGATTTCTTTTATTTTTGTTCTATCTAACTTCAGACCACGCTTTAATTATGACTTTGCCATGTTAAGTTAGTAACGGAGTTTTTGTGGCCAAATTTAAAGAAGTGACGAAATAATGAAAAACGATCAAATAAAAATAATCCAAACTATACCTTTTTAAATATTTAGATTTTTTATAATACATACTTGGACCCATTTCAGTCTTCGAAGGAGCTCTTCCATTTTAATTATTACGGAATGTTGTTTCAAGTCCTTGTATGAAATCCTTTGAAAAAGTATAAACTTTTTAATAGTTTATAAATCAAGAAAGAAAATTTATATTATCGACATGGTTCCTAATTCTAAAAAGACTTTTCTGTTAGTCAGTTTAGATTAAGTTTGTGAAAATAAAGTCTTTAATTTTATTTAGCCTGAAAACTCTTTGGACTCTTGACAAAAAATTTATCTGAAAGTATGATCCAAATAGATAATTTTTATAACGACTCGTTCTTGATTCATAATTTAATGGAAATACTTTACTTTTTTCTGCGACATTTGTCACAAATTTAAAAACTAATTTCATTGGAAAAATGATCATTATTATAACTACTAACTTTTGGTTATATGTTCTTCTACGATACCTACAGCCTCCAGCTCCCTAACTACATTATTCAAATAAGCGGGATCAGGGTAACTGTACGTGTTCATACTAGGCCCGATTTCAGTCTTATGAGGAATATTCCACGAAACGACGTCCTCGCAACCGGTCGTGTGAGATTTGCTTACTGTAAAGATGAGTTTTCTCTGCCACGCCGAATGAAGCAACCGCAAAATTTTCCTACCTTTCGGATTATCAGGTAGGTAGGCATTTCTGGGAAAACCTACGGCGTAATATTCCCTACCCGGGTTCGGATGATCAGCTCTTTGAATCCCCGACTGAATGCTATAAATAAAATTTGAATTAATAACCGTAGTAGTTGATGCCGATGACTCCAAATAAAAAAAAAGACCTTTAGTATACTGTACCAACATATTTAACACTTACTTGTATATTATCTGAATGGTCCTACAACCGGGATGTCCCGGTAAACTTCTATCAATTCTCCTCCACTCCATGGTTCCTGGTGGTTGGTTTCCGTGTTTCTCTCCATACACACATCCACAAACGGCACACTGAATGTGCAAGTGTGAACCGGTCTCTTGTTGTTCCGTTAAAGCGTAATTAAGACAGTCCAGATGCAAGACGTGTGTACAAGGAAGCGCTATCACTACGTTTTCAGGTTTAAGAAGTTGGCGACAAACTGGACACGGCTGCCTCGGGGCCCATTCGCTGGGCTTCGAAATTCTCACGAAACGAGATATACTGGCACTAGCTGGATCTAAACCTTTAAATAAACAAAAAGGTGTAGGGTATATTTTAAAACAAGATACAATGATTTAGTTTATTTAAAATTATTTTTTTGAGAAATATAAGAATTTGTCACCAATAATTCGTCATTGATACTAAGATGTGCTGTCAAAAAAAATCAAAAATGCACTTTATTATTTGAAAGAATGCAACCAACAGTGCTTCATGCAATACAAGACAAGATAGACATATTGAAAGATTAAATAGAAAAACACAAGATTTTGAAGATGAAGCCATGGAAATGGAGAAAAAAGACTATCAAAAAATTAAAGAACATCTGACACCATAAAAATGCTGAATAAAGAAATCATTGAAACCCAAGTTTGGCTGCACCTTTGTTAAATCAAAAAATGTTTTTAAAGGATACATTTGGCAATTGGAACAGGTTACCTAATTAACCTTAAATGTAATCTAAAAATCTGCCTTGAAATATTAAACATGCGAAAAAAGATAATTCCTTTATTATAACTGTCACACGATACATATATGTAACACCTAAATTTAGAAAATAAACACAATCAAAAATATAAGGATTTACTAATGAAAATTAGCATACCAATTATTGAGGGTAAATCTTCTATAGCTCCATCATCACTAGCATTACAATTGATCAAGTCAGCTGTAGAAGCAGTTGCTTGACTTTCTCTGCTCTCCTGACTTAAATACGTAGAAACTGTGTCTAAACTAGGCCTTCTTCCAGATTTAGTGCTGCTGCTATCAGCATCTAACAAAGTTTTATTTTCATTGTTTTGAAATAGTGTCACAGAATTTGACTTATGACCTAAAAAAACATTTATAAATGAAAATTGAGTGTCTCTAATATGTATCCATTTAATTTACTTACCAAAAATATTCAAATTATTTAAAATCTGTCTGGCAAGATTGGCAGGTGTAGAGTCATTTGTCGATTTGGATTTTCCACTGGTTTTCTTTTTATTGCTGTTCTTTTTACTAGCATCGGTTTGATTTAAAATTGCACTACTTCCTATTACTTTGGTACCATGACCTTGTTGGCCATTTGAATTATTTGAGGTTCTACAGGAGTTACGCCCATTAGAACATCTACGCCCTACAAAAAAATATCTTGTAATTATTTACATAAAGGCTTTACTGACAGATTGGTACATATCATTTTAAAATTGCTACAAAACCTGGACCAATGTTTTGAGTTTTTTTTTTATTTAAAAGAAGAATAAACATTTATAATTCAAAATCTTTTTATCAATTAGATGTTTGTATAATCTTTTTTTAAACATTTTTGCACATCTTTTTTGGATCCGTTTTTAAAAACTGGATTTACAATTGATATTTTAAGTTCTTCCGGTATCTTACCTGTTGTAAAGATAAGGTTTATAATGTGCCTTAGAGGCTCTATTATGTATCGGTGCCCAATGTTCTAGATGTAATTACGTCAATCCCAGGAACACTGTTATTTTTTAACGAATTTATATGTTCTATTAATTCATTTTTATTGACAGGATTTAATGCCATTGAGTTGATTAGAGGTGGATATCTTATTAGGAAGTCATCTACAGAATTGATTTTAGTTGCCATATCTATACCAATTTTTGAAAAATAGTTATTGCAGTAGTTGGCCATTTCTTTGTCATTTGTAAATTGTTTATTATTGTTTAGAATATTAAAATCATTTTATTGTTTCGGTGTTCATTTGAAGCTTCTTTAACTATTTTGAATATTTTTTTAATATCATTGTTACTATTTTGAATTTGAATTGTATAATAATCATTTTTAGCTTTATTTGTTATTTTATTTAGTCAGTTACGATATATCCTATATTCTCTTAGAAGATGTTTGTTTTTGGTTTTTAATGTTTGATTTTTCATTTTATCCCTATGTTTAATAGACATGATGATGCCTTGACTTATCCATGGTTTTATTTTTTTATAAGTATTATACCTATTAGTTATATTACATTGTTCTTTTAGGGAATATATTATTATTTCAATACATTTCTGGTAGGCCAAAATTGGATTGCTAAGAGAAATGACGTCCCAGTTTACATTTTCTAATTATTTTGTAAATCTATCTATATCGGTGTATTGTGTTGTATGTTGGTTTAATGTATTATGGTTAAAGTTTCTTTCGTTTGTTGTAATATTTAAAAAAAATTGGAAAATGATCAGATAGATCAGTGTCAATTACCAACGATTTAAATGAAAAATTTTTATTTGGCATATTATTTTTTATAAAAATATGGTCAATACATGATGTCATTTCTAGAGTAACCCTGGTGTATGAATTAATATATGATACAAATCCCAAGGAAGATAACATTGCCAAATATCTATTTGTTATTTGGTTGGAGGGATCAAGGATATTAATATTAATGTCACCAATAAATATATCCATTCCTAGCCTTCTTGGTATATTATTTAAGAAATTTTCAAAATCTGTAAAAAATGTATCATCTAATATGGATGGAGATTTATAACAAGGCATTACTGTATAGGGCACACTATTATAACTAAATGTTATTAAGCTTATCATTACATTTGATAGAGGCAACTTTGTATGTTCTATTTGAAACTCAATGTTGTTTTTAATATATATATATATAACTACACCATCACATTGATTATTCACACTTCCATTAAATATATTAATAAAACCAGGTATAATTAAATTATCAAGTTCAATAACATTATGTGTTTCTACTAATATTATTATATCAAAGTTTCTAAAAATTCTAAAAAGTTGTCAATTTTTTTTTATACTTCTGATATTCAAATGCACAATTTTTATTAACGTTGTTAAATGATTATTGCAACTGATAATATTTAAAAAATATTTATTTAATTCAATCTCATTAAAAATATTTAGTTCTGTTATATCCATAAAAGAGAGAAAGATTATTAAAATCGTGGTAAATTAGTAAAAACTATTATAATGTTGAGATTAAATTAAAACAAAAAACAAAGCAAAGATAAGAAATTAATTTTCAGAATAGGTTGTTTTATTTTTAAGAACCTGTTTGAAATATTTCACAGTATTACACTCTGAATCAGTGGCATAGTGATCAGTTGGATGGTTGGATTTAAAATTAATATTTGAATTCTTACAATTAGCACAACACACTTTAGTTTTAAGACAGTTTTCTCTTAAATGTTCTTCAGCACAAAGAGAAGACAATCTTTTTTGTACAATTTTGTTTATTATGGTAATATCCTTGACACTGATAGCATCTTGGTATGTCAAGGTCCTCATACACTGTGTATCTTTCCCAACCAATATTAACTTTACCTTCTTGCATTATTTGGTTAAAAACTTTTGGACTACATTCACAAATAATTGTTTTGTTTCCAGTGCACTGTTTTTTTTATAAATACAACTTCTATTTCCTTATCTAGGTTATTTTGATTTATAATGCATTTCTTGATGTCCTTGTTGCTCTTATCCTAGTTAAAATTAGCTATTTTTATTTTCGGTTTCCTCATCATAGTTATGACCCAGCTTACTTTTGACACTTTCTTCTAAGACATTCATTCCTTGTTTATTACAACATTTAATAATTAATGCACCTGAATTAGGAGTTTTCATACTCTTAACTCCAACTTTCAATGCTTCAAGGTTTAATATTTATATGTAGGTATGCATATACTTGCCTGTAATTGGGGCCAATTCTTCTAGTTTCACTTTAACTAGTGGATAGGGAGCTTGCTTGATCCTTCTTACATTACGTACATAACCATTGGTCAACCACCTTTGAGTTAAATTACTAAAATTTATTAAATAGGGGAATCCCAAATGAGTTTTACTCATATCTAACATTTGATCACCCTGAAAAAACATATGTTAAAAAAAAAACATTCAAATATGACAAAAACTTACATTCGCCCAAGCTTCTTCAATTAAACACTGAATATCCATATCAAATGGGTGCCATTCTTGACTATGTTCAGCCCCAGAACACTCCCATCTAGCTCCCTTCCCAGCTGGCGATGATGGAGAATAACATTTTCTTCTAACTGGTACAATAACATCTGTAAAATATAGAAAAAAATTAAACTCTCCTTTGTAGCCTTTGTGTATTAAGTTATTCACAATAGTTTAGTTTGTTTAAGTACCAAAAACACAAATAGTTCTGAAATTTACTTACCTGACTCTTCTAGTTCTTGGGTCAAAGTTCTCAAATTAATAAAATAGTTCGAAAGAGTTGGGTCAGCATCAGAAAGTATCACACGGGTCAACTGTTTTGCTTTTGCTCTTTCCAAATGTTGGCTAACGGCTGGGCTGTAGGGCTTCCAATAGCCTGACCTAATTTCATATTCCCACACAACTACTGCATGACCCGTCATTTTATCAAATATAGCGATTATCTGTCGATCATTTTGTTTTCTCTCTCCTATAATGTGCAAAACAGTACTTTAACAATATTCCTTAATTGTATTTCTCAGTTTATCATCACAATAATTATTTACTAATTGTAATCTTATAATCAACTAATTTGTAGATGATTTGTTTATTTTTCTTTTATCAACATTAATGGACACTGACACCTGACACTTCACTTCATCTGCCAAATATAAAATGTCGAATGTCATATTTATCGCTTTAGGTGAGTTCGATTATTTCTGCAACGCTTGTGTATGTTACGCCTTTGGTCGAATATCGTTGGTGTCAGAATGGAACAAGATTTTCAATGGCGTTATGAGTCCTCTCATTATTACCTAGTCTAAGGAATAAGGACCGATTCCACCGTTGAGTTAAACCAAGTTTAAAATTACATTTTTACATTAACAATGTCATTTTAATCTCCGTTTAACACAACGGTGGAATCGATCCTAAACCGCATACTTAGATGTAATCAAAGTATGTGGAATAAACAATGAACTGGAGTGGGGTAGAAAGCCAATGTGCATATTGTATCAATAGAACAAGATGCGACTCTATGGGCGCTGCCATTTTTATTTCTCATCTCACTCGGGAGTATTTATAATAACCATTTTCTGTTTCACATTGTTATTGTTCAATCCACAAGCTGGTGGATCAGACAATAACAAAGTGAAATAGAAAATGGTTGTAATAAATACTCCCGAGTGAGATGAAAAATAACCTGTCTTTGCCCATAGAGTCGCATCTCAAGCCTATTGACAAGCATTCTACCCCACTCCAGTTCATTGGGAATAAACGAACGCTAAAAAGGTCATGGTGTTAAAGGAGTCACTGGAACTTGGCTATCCGAACTTACCTTTTTATGTCAGTTCTTTTTTGAAATTTTGACGTTTTACATTTCAAACTTTAGAGGTTATGAATAATGTTATTTTGATAAACATGATTTAAATTCTGTAAAAATGAATTCTTCGATTGCCCGTCTACTGTTTAAACCACAATCACTCATTATCCATTGCAAAACATTCTCATCTACAATTAGTGAACATGTATCCAACTCAACTCCGTTTTTGGAAGGTTACAATTATGATACCAAATTATTAAAAGTAGCTATTATAGGTATGCCAAATGCTGGGAAAAGCACATTTATTAACAGTTTAATGGATAGAAAGGTAAAAAACTCATCTTCCGATTAATATTTAACATTGAACTTGTTCCGATTTTGAATTTATATTTTTATTAGGTTTGTGCTACATCTCATAAAGTACATACTACCAGGGCAAAAGCCAAAGCTATTTTCTCTACCGATGACACACAAATAGTTTTTGTTGATACCCCAGGACTTGTTAATCAACGGGAACAAAAAAAGTTAGTACCTAAATACCATGAATACTGAGTGGCTCATAAGTTACAAAACAATGTAAGGAGTTAATACATTTTGTGATTATTAATGTTATTTATTATTTAAAAATAATATCTGTTATGCTGTCTATGTTTTCAGATTCATGGAGACATCTTTTTATGGCATGATCTATGACCCCCAACCCTATTTAGTTTGTTTTTAGTGCCCTAATTAACATGAGAATGTTTTCCTTTAGTTGTTGTGGAACTGTTCAAGCTTTTTTTACACAGAGATCTGAACATAGGTGGTTAATCATATTAAGATCTTGAAATGAATCCTCTCCAGCATTGTTTCTTAAAACTTGAATTGTGGCTTCAGCACAATGGCAATTGACCCCACCTTGCTTAAAGATCATTCCAGGTAAATTTTCCACTGCAGGGTATACAAAGGTTTCTAACATGGCTTGATATCTTCTGCCATTGTCCCCCACTGCTTTACCAATGTCATCTTCAAAGATGAACGGTCCAATTGTGTTCTGTGGAGACAGTCCATGTTGGAGTATTTAAGTTTTTGTTACTGCATATCATACAATTCTATTTATTGACAATGCCATTGAAGTAACAAAATATTTACTAATGATTGTTGTGTCTTAACAATTGGATGGTGGTTTTAAAAGTACACCTCTATATTGTTGGTATGCTGTAGAGTTGTATGATAAATTTTCTTATTGTTTACTACAATTTCTGTTGTAATTGAACAAAAAATGATAACTAAAAAGTTAAGTTATTGACTCTTAAAACCACGTTGTGACTTATGAGCTATTTGTGACTTATAAGCTATTTAGTGGAGAATGATCACCTTAGAATAATTTAATTTTAGATTTAACTTAACATCACAGTTTATTAAAGATGGTAGAAATGTTGCTAACCATGTTGATATTATTGGAGTTATACATGATGTTTCAAATTTTTGGACTAGAGATAGATTGGACATTAAAATAGTTAAAATATTGGAAGGTAACAAAGATAAACCAAGCTTTTTAGTAATGAATAAGGTAAGAAAAACTAACCACTAGAAAATATTGATGTGGAACTAGTAAAAATTGGTAGGTAGATGCTTTAAAATCTAAAAGAAAATTATTAGATGTTACTAGGAATTTAACTGAAAATGCAATTAATGGAAAACCAATAGAAGTTAGGGGATCTAAAACAGAATTTAAAAAAGATGAATTGGACACCAGAGGCTGGCCCTATTTCCGTGACATTTTTATGGTTTCTGCATTGACAGGTAATTATTTTGATTAATGATAAAAAATATATATTATGCAGTACAGCAGATATAGCTGAAGCTGTGATTACGGATTTTAATACATTATACTCGAAGCTGTAGATTTTTAAATATTGCCAAATATTGGTGCTGTAAAAATGGCGTTAATGATTTATATACTTTATTTGACAACATGACATGAATCTTTTTTTTTTCACATTGGCACATGTCGCGGCTTTTATTATTTCTGTAAATCAGGTACACAGAAGTTGTATACATATTCAAATTGTCAAATTAGGTGATGGTATAGACGACGTCAAAAATTATCTTTTATCACAAGCGAAACCTGGAAAATGGTTGTACCCTGGAAATGTCTGGACTGACCAAAACGCCGAGTTGGTCATTCTTAATACCGTCAAAGCAGCATTATTAAATCAAATGCCCCAAGAGGTACCCTATAAACTAGAACCTGTCATAGAATATTTTAATGTTGACGAAAATGGTAAAGTATTATTTTTATAAACTTTGCAATTTTGGTAACTATTATTTTTTTATAGGTAAAATTACAACTGTAGTAATAGTGAAATGCCCTACTCCGAGAATATACCGACTTTTACTTGGAACGTCAGACGGAAGAATCAGAAATATTACAGAAAATGTTCAGCGGGATCTACAAGGTTGTTTTCATAATTATGTGAAGATTAAAATTGTACCCAGTGCGCCTGGTGTAGTAGAAAATGATAATTAAAGTTATAGTTTTACATGCTTGTGTTTTATTAAATTGGATAGTGCAATTCATATATAGCAGGGAGGTACAGACAACATGTATTAAGCAGTGTTTAACAAAACAAATAAATTCTAACTAACCAAAGTAATTAAAATGCCCTTTTTCTAACTTTTCTTTAGGCAAACTCACGAACCAGTGATTTCAAGTCTAATTTGTCACTATTTTGTGTTCTATAGCTATTCATTGCCAATCCATTGAGACGATTTTGCGTCCGCATCGTTCTGAGATAATTTTTTATTATTTTTAGTTTTGAAAAGCTTCTTTCCCCTGGAGCCACAGTGACTGGCAATGTAAGTAGGATTCTTAATGCTATGCTGAGGGTTGGTGCGAATTTAAGTGTAGCGATAAACTTGAGAATTTCAAAAGGGGTTTCCTTTTTTGTTTAAGCCTATTTTTCTCTAGATCTTCTAGTAAAACCTCGGACAATTCCTTAGCTGTTGATCTCTCAATGGGTAGAAAACCCAAAAAATGTTCGTTGATATTAACTTGAACTTCAGACTCTGATTCCTGTATTTAGACAAATCTTACCACAAATGTCATCTGTTCTACTTTACTTGCATCGGAAGTACAGTCAAGAATCACGGAATAATACTTGGCCTTTTGAACTTGCTCAATGATGTGGTGCTTTATGTTGTCATGCAATAATTCAATTATTTCATTTTGTATAGTTTTCCCTAGATATGTAGCTTTGATTTCTTCTTTATTGAGGACTGCGAACGTGTTCCTCCATTTTTGGATCAAACTCAGCCAATAACTGAATTAACTTTAAAAAGTTTCCATTATTGTGTTCATACAGTTTATCGCTTGTTCCTCGAAAAGCTAGAGAGCTCTCACCTAACATTTTAATGCGTAAAAGAATCAGAATCAATGAGTCTCTGAGAAACTGCATCTACTGTTTCACCTATTTTCAATCTTTGCTTTAATTCAAGCCATGATTTCAAACAATCTATATGAGTTTTAGCATTTTCATGATGTGCTAAAGAGTTCCCTAAATGCTTCCAGTCTTTAAATCCCCAATTGCCAAGAGCGCTCAAGCTAGATGGTGCAGCGACATGGAAAACAGTACAAAGCGTTTTGAAATACGGGATATACCATCCATTCTCTTAAAACCTCTTCTCCATTTCTAAGCCGTTCTTGTAATGTTTGGGTGAGAATCTTCTGTGCTGATCATCAAAAGGAAAATCAAAATTATACAAAGGTGCAGCTGGACCACGTTTACCCAAAAAACTATCTGCTGCACGCATGATTTTGGGCCATAATCCTGGTAACGGAATTATTATTTTTATTTTAACAAATACTTAATACATAACTACTAATATTTGTAGGTAGCATTAGTTTTTGGATTATCTGGCGCTTGTCGTTGCCACGAACTAAAAGATTTAACAATAAGCGATGTAAAGGATACTGGAAGTATTCTGTTAGTTAAAATCCGTAATACAAAAACAAAAGTTCCGCGTTCTTTTCATATTTCTGGACCCTTTTATGATATTTCTAAAATATATATGAGCCTACGTCCCGCAAACATGGATCAAATTAATTCAAGATTCTTTATTAACTATCAGAATGGAAAGTGTAGCAGACAGGTTGTTGGAATTAATAAAACCAGTAAATTTCCTAACGAAATTGCTCAGTTTTTAACGCTTCCGAATCCTCAAGATTACACTGGGCACTGTTTCCGCAGAACATCCGCAACGCTATTACCCAGACAACACACCAAGTCCCAGAGATATCCACAGAATATCTTTTGTGGATATCCAATATATCCACAGGATATCAGAAATATTCCGTGGATCTAATATGGATATCCAAATGTCCGTCTATATCCAGAATATAGAAGATATCCTATGGATATTCAGCAAAATATCTAATGAGTATCTTCCAAACAATACAAGAAATCCCAGAGATATCCACTGAATATATTTTGTGGATATCCAATATGGATATCCAACCAAATGTCCGTCTATATCCCAGGATATACAATTCAGATATTCAGCAAAATATTTTATAGGTATCTTTAGTAGAGGTTCATAAGTAACCAATGATTTTTGAATAACGTCGAAAGAAAATAGAGATAAAAAATATTTCCAACAATCTGCCTTTGATTTTGCCCACCCACTAAGAACAACACTAAGGAGAAAGTCATCCTTATTAGGACTCTTCAGCAATAAATGGAAATTCTCGACTTCAGTCTCTAATGGAGTCTGATTGTCAAAAAAATTTCAATCGAACTCAATTAAGGCGGGTTGAGCATGAGTAGATACGAAAGTAGTATCGCCATCTATACTTAGGAAGCAAAATCAAAAATTACATCTAGTAGATATCCACGATGGTTTGCGTCCACGCTTAGACTTTGATATATTTAGTGGGATATTGAATACTACTTAAAAAAAATTAATTTTAAATATCTGAATGGTACTATTACCCACAATGGTGAGCACAATGGCGTAATTTTTTAATAATTTGCTATATAATTACTATTATTTATGGACATTTGCATGTCTATAAATTACATATCATGGATATAAAATAGATATCCACCATGGACTGGACATTCAGTGGATATTGGGATGTGCAGTAGATATCCAAAGGATTTGGTGTGCTGTCTGGGTAGTGGATGCAGGAGGTGACTTGCTTCTGTTAAAAAAGCACGGTGGTTGGAAATCTAGTAGTGTTGCGGAAGGATATTTATGTTGATGAATCCACGAACAGTAAAAACCAAATACAAACCAAAATTTTACAATCGGTACAAAATAAGGAAACTACTAGTTCATCCGATTATGGCGCAGCATCATCTGAAATGACATTTAACAGTAGAATAAATATGTCGGCATCTACCTCAATAAATAAAAAACTTGAGTGTGATACCCCCATAATTTTGAACAATTGTTCAAATATAACAATAAATCAATATTTAAATAATAAATAATATTTCTGAAATATTTAATTGTTGGTTAATTTTTTGTTATTCCTAACACAAAATAAAGCATTTGCTAACGTTTGTTTTTTTTTCATTTTAGTAGGTACCTACATGACATAATAGAGTTCGTAGAAAAAGTATAGTGTTTTACTCGTCGAAAATCATGTTATTTTCGTCACTCGTGAAACAATATACTATTATTCAACTGCAGGTTCAATCAACGTTCATTTGATACCACACAAGCCATTTTTTGATGTAAGCTAATTTTTGAAATCCCCCCTTGTGCGCCACTGGCCTAAAAAAATAAAATGCATTTTATTCAACTCCAGACTCAATTACCTTTCATTTGATACCACACATGCCATGTTTTGATCTAAACTCTAATTTTTTAAATCTACCCCCCACCCCTTTTTGGGCTTATGCCTGATGGATTTTGATTCATTAGTTATATCAAATTAGATATAATTTCACTAATTATTTTTAATAAATTCCAAAACTTGTTAATGGTTTATTGGATATCAAGTATTTTTATGAGATGTGGCAACAGCTAGTATTTTGTAGGCGGGGCATATTACGTTGTTTATTACGAGCCTAAATACAAAATATTTATTATTTCATCAACTTGTTTTGACAGTTCAGTTGACGTTGTAGAGATTGTTTAGAGTTATTAGGCATTCCAAACAAATGAATTACCAGTGGGCAGGTTCGGTATATCTAAGGGTGGCGACATATGGTGTATTCTATCTACTTTACGTAAAATCATGAATAATGGATTATATTTAAATATTTTATGTCAAACACAATAAAAATAATATTTAAAAAACCCACCTATACATTTCTTCATAAATTGGCAGGCTTGGCGAGTACTACTTCGAATAAAAATAGCGTCCAAGTTGCAAGACTATGCCGCTACCCCCCTTAAATATACAAGAATTTCCCACTGGTACCTATTGTTTGACAGGTCGTTGGAATGCCTAATTGTTCATTGGTTTTTCTCAGTTTTTTCTTGTGAAAGTGATTTTCTGTTATTTTGTTAACATACAAACTTTAAACATGATGAAACAGTGCAAAATTTGTAGAAAATAAGACAAATTGGACCCAAATTCTTCGTTTCATGTGAGTATAGGTTAGAATTTACTTATGATAGACGTACCAATTACGAAAAGTATGTTATATATTTTTAAATTATTAGTATTATTAATGTTTTGAATTAACCATAGTTGTCCATCTGCCTTAACAAAGCAGGACAAAATAGGAAATTTTAAAATTGGTACTAGGAATACCTATTCCTAAAAATCTCAAAGTACCTAGTTAATCTTGTGTAAAAATTCTGCATTTTTTTATGAAATCTCTTTAAAACAGGTTTTAAAATGATTCAATTTAATTGAGTCGTTGCCTAAAAGTTTCATGGGTAATGTTATTCGGCAAAACTTTTGTTTTTAGTACCTAGGTATGTCAAAAAGTTATTGTTATTTCACTATACAAAAAAATCTTGAGAAAACTACAATTGACTTTGATTAAAGGTTCGCGTTTCCACGGATAAAATTTTTATCAAAACAGCAGAAAGCATGCAATATTTTACCACAAAATTAGGATCAATTAAATAAATAAATCACATTAAGAAGCAAACACTCTAAATATATATTTTAGATCTTTGAAATCCCAGTTTCAGCGGATAAACATTATTCTATCAAAACAGCAAAAATAATATTTAGCACTTAATTTCAAATACTTAGGTACAATTTTTTTTTTACAAATAATTCAGAACTACTATCAATTTCATAAAAAAATCTGATGTGTCCAACACATGACTTTCCTATCTAGTTATTACAGGCTTTTTCCGGTTATTTTATACAACCTATTGCAGCACCTCTATAAATGTTTAGAGGATAAACTAAATATATACATTTTCCACATACATCTACCTCGAAACACATTTTTCTATAGATATTCATTGAAAACGAAAATACTAAAAAATTTAAATTTATCACTTTTCCTATAATTTTTCCATTACGGTCCATTTTAGAAAAATCAT